TGCTGACTATTGGTGATCACAGCATTCCTTTCTAGGTGCTCACAGACTGTTTGCTTAATGATCTGCTCCAGAATCTTCCCTGGTATTGATGTCAGACTGACTGGGCGGTAATTATTTGGGTCCTCTCTTTCCCCCTTTTTGAAAATAGGGACAACATTTGCCCTCCTCCAGTCTGCCGGGACTTCACCTGTTCTCCAGGAATTCTCAAAGATGACTGCCAGTGGTTCTGAGATCACATCTGCCAGTTCTTTTAATACTCTTGGATGCAGTTCATCTGGCCCTGGAGACTTGAATACATCTAAACTAGCCAAGTATTCTTGTACTATATCCTTAGTTATTCTGGGCTGTGTTTCCTTTGCTGAATCATTTGCTCCAAATTCTTCAGGTCGGGCATTGTTTTCTTTATCGGAGAAGACTGAGGCAAAGAAGGCATTGAGGAGTTCAGCCCTTTCTGTGTCCCCTGTTTGCATTTCACCATCTTCTCCTCTGAGTGACCCCACTGTTTCTTTGTTCTTCCTTTTGTTACGAACATACCCATAAAAGCCTTTTTTGTTGCTTTTAACCTCTCTAGCAAGCCTGAGTTCATTCTGTGCTTTAGCTTTTCTGACTTTGTGTCTACACGTGCTGGCTATTTGTTTGAATTCCTCTTTGGTGGTTTCCCCCTTTTCCATTTTTGTACACATCCTTTTTAAATCTTAACTCAGTTAAAAGTTCTTTAGATAGCCACCCTGGCTTCTTTAGGCACCTTCCATCTTTCCGTCTCATTGGTATTGCCTGACGTTGTGCTTTTACTATCTCCCTCTTAACAAACTCCCAGCCATCATGAACTCCCTTTCCTTTTAGTATTACTGTCCATGGGATCTCACCCAGCACTTCCCTAAGTTTTATGAAGTCAGCTTTCTTAAAGTCAAGAAATTGAGTCCTAGTATGCTTGGCTGCTCCTTTCCGCTGTATAGTAAACTTCAGAAGAGCATGATCACTCGCGCCTAATGATCCTTCCACTTCTACCCCACTAACCAGGTCATCAACATTGGTTAGGACCAGATCTAAAATGGCTGTTCCTCTTGTTGCTTCTCCCACTTTCTGGATAATGAAGTTGTCTGCAAGGCCAGTGAGGAATCTGTTTGACCTTATGCTCTTGGCTGAGTTTGACATCCAACAAATATCCGGGTAATTGAAGTCCCCCATTACTACTATCTCCCTTCCTTTTGCATGCTTGGCCATCTGTTCCAGGAAGGCATCATCTATGTCCTCCGTTTGGCTTGGGGATCTATAGTAAACTCCCACAATGAGGTCACTGTTATTCTTCTCTCCCTTAATTTTGACCCAAATGCTCTCACTTTGGCTTTGAGGTTCTAAATCTTGGATCTCTTCACAGGTATACACATCCCTGACATATAACGCCACTCCTCCTCCTTTCTTGTCTGGTCTGTTTCTCTGAAATAGATTGTATCCCCCATTATTACATTCCAATCGTGGGACTTATCCCACCAGGTTTCAGTGATGCCTATTATGTCATATTTAGTTTGCTGTACCAAGAGCTCAAGCTCATCTTGTTTATTTCCCATGCTTTGTGCATTAGTGTACAGACATTGAAGTCCATTAATCATTCCCCGTGTCTCTTATTTAATGATTTTTCCTCCCACCACTAGGTCTGTGTGCTGTTTGCTCCATTTGGTCTATGACATTTGGATGATCATCTTCATCAATTGATAGACTCCTACCTTCAGGAGCACTGTCTCCCTCCCCACATTAGTCAGTTTAAAGCCCTCTTGATGAGGTTTCTGAGATTTTTGGCAAAAACATTTCTCCCAACCGTTGTGAGGTGCAGCCCATCGCTTGCCAGAAGTCCATCTTCAAGAAACTGCAGTCCGTGATCTAAGAATCCAAACCGTTCCTGTTTACACCATTTGCGAAGCCAGCTGTTCACTTCCACTATTTTCCCTCTCTCCCTGGGCCACGTCGTTCAACTGGGAGGACAGATGAGATGACAATTTGTGCATTTAATTGCTTCAATTTCCTGCCCAGAGCCTCGTAGTCTCTTTTGATCTTCTGGAGGCTATTGCTTGCAGTGTCATTGGTTCCCACATGAACCAAGAGGAAGGGGTATTTGTCAGTGGGTTTTATGATTCCTTGCAGTCGTTCAGTTACATCTTGGATCTTAGCCCCGGGGAGACAGCACACTTCCCGAGACATCTTTTCAGGCCCACAGATCACTGCTTCTGTTCCCCTCAGTAGCGAATCCCCTATCACCACTACATGCCTCCTCTTAGGTTTGGTCGGGGTTCTTCCGTGAGCTGCCCGTTCCAAGGTCGCCTGCACATTCCCTGAGGACTGACTTTGCTGCTCGTCTTCATATACCTGATCGACTGTAATGAGGGAGAGATCCTCAAATGGAGTCTGCTCATCGTCTTCCATGCTAGGGGAGAGGACCTCAAAGTGATTGTGTATTTCTAAACAATCAGAGTGAACCCTGGGCCTCCTACTTCTTTGAGTCACGTTTCTCCATATATCTGGCTCCTGTGTTGGTGAACTAGCCTCCTTCTCAGGGGAGTCCCCTGTCTCCTCCTTGGTGGAGACAGTGTGCTCTGTTGCTTCCAAGAAGAGCTCCAGCTCTCTAATTCTTTGGAGCGTAGCTACACGTTCCTCCAGTTGCTGGACTTTGTCTTTTAAGAGGGCAATCAACATGCAATTGCTGCAGGTAAAGCTGCCTGCAACCTTTGGCAAGATGGCAAACATTGCGCAGGAACCGCAGGCGACTGCAGCTGTTCCCCCCCTCCATCTTGAGAACGTGTCGTTGGGGGTGGCTACAGTGGTCCTCCATCATAAAAAGCGTGAAGACAGGAAAAATAACTCCCCCCACAGAAAACCTAGGTCTCCCCCAACAAACGTTTGAGACTAGCTCCCCTAAAAAAGATGGATCAAACTGCGCGTGCCGCTAGGCGCGCGCCGCTGCCCTGCAGGCTCTGATAAGCTCCTCCCACAGCTAATCACCTGCCTCAACAGAAACCCTGCCCCCTCTGACCTTTGCACAGGGAGAACAGCTAATCAGCCACAAAGAAACACGCACACACTCACAAGAAAACCCTTTTTGCTCCTTCTTCAACTGCTGCCCTGCAGGCTCTGATAAGCTCCTCCCACAGCTAATCACCTGCCTCAACAGAAACCCTGCCCCCTCTGACCTTTGCACAGGGAGAACAGCTAATCAGCCACAAAGAAACACACACACACAAGAAAACCCTTTTTGCCCCTTCTTCAACTGCTGCCCTGCAGGCTCTGATGATGCTGGGGAAACTGCTGATCTGAACTGCCTTAACTTAAGTTGTATCTTCACGGCTGTCAAAGATGACACGGTCAAATTTCACCCTTCTGACAATCAGATTTCTGATCCACAGATTTCATAGCTTTTTCTTGGACCCTCTTGGCTTTTGAGTGATCAACTACAAGTCTCTGGTCTTCTTCAGCAATCAAGCCAGCATCCTGCGTAGCCACATTCTATATTTCTATTGTGTTGTACCCTGGGGTGTTTTTTAGAAGTGGAAGGTGTACTTGGTCGCAGTCAGATGGGTGATTGAGTTGCCACAACCATGATGTAGCACACTTGAGAGTATAAACAGAATGGAAGGCAAGAGGGGGAAAGGTGCCAAATTTTGTCCTTGTTCAGGGTGCTATATTACCAAAGTCTGCCCCTGCTGAAGGGCTGTCTCATCCAAGTCCAGTTTAAAAATGTAGAGCTAAAAGAGGGTAGAGCAGGCCTTGAAACTGTCCACCAATAGTTAGCACTTGGCCACAGACACCAAGCCAGGCCCACAGGTCACCTGATTACAATCTTCCACATATGCAGATTTTATGCAAATTGGTGGTATTTCTTTTAGTGGTGTTTCCTCTTGGGGGGCGGCTATGTTAGTGTTGTGTATTGTATCTGTCTTTCCTGATCTTAATTATAATATGTCACTTTCTATGATCCAAATGCCCCTGCCTATACACTGTTTATAATTTTTTAATCTCTACATATTTATGCAGCAATGCGGGGAGAAAGATGGTGCGTAGTATAAAGAACAGAGAGTCCTGTATGGAAATAGATACCTTAAAGAGTGCGCTGCTCCGCAAACAGTCTGAGGAAACACTCATTGAATAAAACACTATGTTTAAAACAAATAAAGAGCCAATATTAAGGTTTTATTTTAGCTGTGAAAGCAAGGCATAAAATGGGCAACAAAAGGAATTGGTTTTTACAGGAGGCTTAAAGATAAGAGTAAAAAGAACCACAGCTCTGTGTCCGTTGATGAAATGGGAGAACCAAATTCAAAATGTGTAGGCATTTGTGAAAGCAAGAAAAATGGCATCTCTTGCAGTTAAGAGTGAGGAAATTTCCTTGATAAATCTCTGTGGTGGTGTGTGAGGCAGGCAGCAGCTTGGGGAAGAAATTGCATTAGAGTACAGTTAGTTATCGCATTCGCATAGCCAGCTTCCTAATCCAATTATTCTGATTTAAAGGAAGGACAATCTATATTTCCTAATGGTCGTGGTGGAGAAATTACACTTACATTGTGCCTTTTTATAATTTGAAATGTTTGGACAACCCAGGATAGGGCATTAATTTAGAATGATATAAAATGAGTTATAGATTCATGCAGGGCATTTTTTGTTTGTTTACACATCCATTTTCTCCGTGAATTGGAAACTGAACAGCAACTCCAGTGCTCACTAGGCAGTAGGTCCATTCCTGGGTTCACAACAGTGGACAATAGCAATTAATCACTGTATCCATCATACACACTCACACAACCTACACACACTCCTGACAGTGAGCTACCATGGAAAGGATACATTAGACTTGCATAAATGCTAAATGTTTAGGGAAGTTTTTAATGTGTGACATTTTAATGTATTTTTAATCTTTATTGGAAGCCGCCCAGAGTGGTTGGGGCAACCCAACCAGATGGGCAGGGTGTTGTTGTTGTTGTTTAGTCGTTTAGTCGTGTCCGACTCTTCGTGACCCCATGGACCAGAGCACGCCAGGCCCTGCTGTCTTTCACTGCCTCCCGCAGTTTGGTCAAACTCATGCTGGTAGCTTCGAGAACACTGTCCAACCATCTCATCCTCTGTTGTCCCCTTCTCCTTGTATCCTCAATATTTCCCAACATCAGGGTCTTTTCCAGGAAGTCTTCTCTTCTCATGAGGTGGCCAAAGTACTGGAGCCTCAGCTTCAGGATCTGTCCTTCCAGTGAGCACTCAGGGCTGATTTCCTTAAGAATGGATAGGTTTGATCTTCTTGCAGTCCATGGGACTCTCAAGAGTCTCCTCCAGCACCATAATTCAAAAGCATCAATTCTTCGGCGATCAGCCTTCTTTATGGTCCAGCTCTCACTTCCATACATCACTACTGGGAAAACCATGGCTTTAACTATACGGACCTTTTTTGGCAAGGTGATTTCTCTGCTTTTTAAGATGCTGTCTAGGTTTGTCATTGCCTTTCTCCCAAGAAGCGGGCGTCTTTTAATTTCATGACTGCTAATAAAAAATTATTATTACTAATTATTATAAACTGGAATGCTGGCATATAGCAGGGTGGCTTCTTTTGCATCACCAAAAAAGGATGACGGCATCACATACGCACAAAGGAAGACAAAAAGTGGAACAGATTTGCATAAAACATGCAAATGCTAATTTATACACATAGATGCAAATTTAGATGAAATTACTATGATTTAAATAGAAATTACAACACATCTCACCATGGTGAGGCAGACTATGATCACTTGACTTGAAAGTTTGCTCAGGTTGCTGCGTAGTTCTCCTTATGGTTGGTTCTTTATAGTTAAACTAGATTTGGACTGGACAGCACTTCCACCAGAACATTCTTTTGTCCAGTAGGACACAGAGCCAGGATCATATGTAATGGACAGCATGGTGACATTCCTTAGAAGGCCTCATTTGCATGTTAAGGGCCCACTCTGTGCAGCAGAAAACCTCAGAGTGAAGCTAGTCTAAATTTAGCACCCCCAAAAAAATCCATGAATACAGGAAAATCTCAAATATTTTGCCAACATGTATCCACAGCGTATATTTGAAGAGATGCTCTTAAATTCATAGAATCTTAGAATTGTAAAGTTGGAAGGGACCACGGGGGTAATCTAGTCCAACCCCCATGTGGAGCTTGAACCCATGACCCTGGGGTGGCTCTACAAGTTGAGCTCTCCCTGTCTATTTTGAAAGGTGCTGGATAGATATAGATCTTAATATTCTGTGACTACCTTGTTTTTCATATGGTGGCTGTACACTTTGTGTTGACAGAAGTGACTTTCATGGGGAAAGTGGATTAAACATGTTGTAAATGGGATTCTACCTGAAGAGAGGTTGAGAGACTGCCTCAGGCTTGCATTCCCCCTCTATCACAGCTGCCCTGTGAGGGGCGGGGAGGGGGGAGTGAGGAAATGAGCTGGAGAGCAGGCCCAGAAGCACATAAAAAGGAAGGCGAGGAGAAAACGGTCTGTGTCGCATTATCTGAACACACCCACTGAAAGCAACGGTATGATCAAACTACTTGCAGATTTTGGGCTATATGGCATGGGGTGAAATGGCTGCACCACATTGTTTTATCCAGTGTACTTATTTCCGTGTGAGCTACAAGCAGCAATATTCCCTGTCATCTTGCTAGGTTAACAAGGGTTTCTCAGGAGTGATGCTGAAGAACAGCTTATCCACTTTAAAAGCCAATGGGGATTTGGGTAGACAAAATAGAAAGCTCTCTCTAGAATTTGGTTTCATTTGTTCCAAAAGTGCCATGGGGATCTTTAATGAGCACACGTGGCCAGAGCCAGCACTTTTTAACATCCCACCCGGTTTCAAATTGAAATGGCAAACACTTCAGCAAATGGGTAGAAATATTTTGTTTAAGGTCGGATCTGCTGCAGGGAATACACATATCATCTACCCTCCCCCAGCCGTGCCCATTTTGGAGGAACTGATACCGGCTTTCAACTTTTCACCCTTCAACTGTCATGAACCATATATAAAATAAATCAGAACAGGAGTTATGGAAAAGGTTTCAGCTGAACCTATAATTCCTGGGGGATGTTCAACATTGATTCTTACGCATGGAGTAGAAAATAAATCCAACCTGAATCTCAGATAGCAAGGCAGTGGGAGAGAGACTTCATGCTTGCAAGATCTACTTTGATATATTTTTATTAGAACCCTGAAGTCTACTAAGCAGAGCCAGATGCAATAGTGGCTTCGGAGGTAGATACATACTTAGAATTAAGGAACAGAGGCCAGGAATTTACTTGCAGTACCAAACCTGAGCTCACCGTCTACACAAACAGCCACTTCTGGTTATCCCCACAGGGTTTTTTTTTCATTTTGGTAGCCTCATTTAAAGAGGGAAGTGTCTTTGTTCTTGCTGTTGTTAAACAGCTGGGTGTCAGAATTCTTCGTCAATGTACAGTGGTGCCCCGCAAGACAAATGCCTCGCAAGACGGAAAACCCGCTAGACGAAAGGGTTTTCCGTTTTTGAGTTGCTTCGCAGGACGAATTTCCCTATGGGCTTGCTTCGCAAGACGAAAATGTCTTGCGAGTCTTGAGATTTTTTTTCGCTCCCCCCCCCTTTTTCTAAGCCGCTAAGCCGCTAATAGCCTTCTGGCAGCTAAGCCACTAAGCCGACAAGCCTTTAATAGCTGCTAAACTGCTAATAGCGCTAATCCGCTAAGCCGCTAATAGGGTTGCTTCGCAAGACGAAAAAACCACTAGACGAAGACACTTGCGGAACGGATTAATTTCGTCTTGCGAGGCACCACTGTACTGAAAATCACTGAAGAAGTTTACCGGTGGATTTCCCTCAGCCCTCCATCTGCCCCCACCACACAGAACTAAAATGGTAACACAAAATAAGAAATGAGATGCAGTTATGTTTTTACTAGTTGTCTAGGCAGATTTCCTACCCTGTGCAATTCCAAAGGCTTAGAGCTGGTTGCTGAATGTTACTCTGTAATGTAAACACCCCTTTTAAAAACAGTCCAGTTTAGAGCCAGTTACTTGTCGAATCTTCACCCAGCCTCGCTAAGATTTGCTTTTCCTAAGCTGCATTTTCAAGCTCTGCCCTCTGCCGTCCTAGAAGAGGGTACAACAGGGTACCATAATGAAGAGAAACTCTGCATATGTGGGCAACCACAGGTGGAAGACATCTTGCACTGTTTACTATATTGCCCACTATACATTGGACCCAGGAGGCGATTTCTCACCCTACCATCCATACAGGAAAGATGTCTCTCCCCGGCACAGAAGGTCCTATGGCTTCTTAGCGATGTAAATGTTTCAGTGAATTTCTATACCCCTTGGCTGTAAGAAAAACAACAACCACAGAGCAGTTCCTTTATAATAGGTGTGCTTAATGGTCTGAAACTGACTTAGCCCTACCTTATGCAACCCTTGAGAAGCATGCGTGTTTTGATCAGAAAACTAGGGAAGGTTCAGGAAAAGAGGCGGATTTAGGGCAGCACGAACGGTTCTGCCACACTGGGTGCCAAGGCTAGGGGGCGCCACAGGGCGGAGCAACTATGACCTAGTGATTTGAGCAGAACAGAAGGCAAGAGGTCAGGGAGGGGAATTTTGGCCTTGCAAAGAGTGCTGCTGAAATTAGAAAGACCAAAGTTTGTCCCTGTTCCCAATGATATGGAAGACATCTTGCACTGTTTACTACATTGCCAACTAAACATTTGACCCAGGAGGTGACTTCTCATCTTACCGTCCATACAGGAAAGATGTCTCTCCCCCGCAGAGAAGGTCCTATGGCTTCTCAGCAATGTAAATGCTTCAGTGATGCATAAAGTCACCCTTTTTGCCTTGGCGGCCAAACAGATCAGAAAGAAGACCCTGAACAATATAGCAGTGAACTGAAAGGGAGACACAGAGATCTAAACAGAGACCATTATTTGTGGTGTGACACCCCTTCTGCTTGTATTTATTTTTGATTCAGATTTGTCATGGCCAATGGCTAGCACAATAAAGTTATTTGGATGGGATCTTAAACATCTGGGCCACAATTTGTTCTTCTGTGGGTACTGCTGGAAAATGAAGTACATTGTTTACAATGGGGAATCAGTGCATGCCTGATCTACAGCTTGTTCAGTGGTCCATGCAGTTATTTTAGACTCTGGAGTTTATGGTCTTGGCGGACGGGGGGGGGGGGACTTTACATGGTCATTTACAGCTGCTTCCATTTTCCTGATGTGCTAGAGCAATGAAAGAACAAACAAAACACTTTGCCGCACCCATTCTTTAAAAGAAAGAAAATAAATACTCAAAAAGAACCAAGGCTGTTTCACATTTTAACTCATTTAAACTATGCACACTATCGGCACCTCTTGGAAACAATTGAAGACATTTTGGTTCTGTCAATCCTTTGGCAGCTGGGTCTCTGTGAGAGGTGTCCATTTTGTATTGTTTTTTAAAATCATCTGTTATTTCTGTAACTGTTTTAAGCTGTTTTTATTGTCACCATGGGGCATATGTGGAAGGCAATAAATAATCTCTTTGGAAGAAATTGAAGTTTGCCTCTGCTGCCTAATGCTAAACATATTTAGTTGGGAATAAGCATGGTTTTGTTGTAAATAGGGATAATATATATATTAAGTCAAAATAATAAAATGGGCATCTGCGCCATATAGAGCCCTCACCAGCAGCCCTCAGCCAAAAATTGCTGTTACAAGAAAAATAATTTTTGAGATAACAGCATCATTCCTTGTGGGTGGCCCAGCATATCTGTGTTGGACCAGGTCCTGAAGCAGGGCCTATCTGTGGTGACTGGTGAAAGTGGCAACAGTCTGGATGATCATTTGTGTTCCCTCTGGGCTGAGATGTCTTTAACTCCAAAATCCACATCTAGCTGCACTACTGGTCTCATTTCCCCAATACTAGTGGGTGGCGCTGTGGTCTAAACCACTGAGCCTCTTGGGCTTGCTGATCGGAAGGTCTGTGGTTCGAACCCTCACAACGGGGTGAGCTCCCATTGCTTTGTCCCAGCTCCTGCCAACCTAGTTTTTCGAAAGCATGCCAGTACAAGTAGATAAAAAGGTACCACTGAGGCAAGAAGGTAAACAGCATTTCCATGCGCTCTGGTTTCCGTCACAGTGTCCCGTTGTGCCAGAAGCGGTTTAGTCCTGCTGGCCACATGACCTGGAAACCTGTCTGTGGACAAACGCTGGCTCCCTTGGCCTGAAGCGAGGTGAGCGCCACAACCCCATAGATGCCTTTGACTGGACTTAACTGTCCAGGGGTCCTTTACCTTTACCTTACTTGCCTGCAAGTTATTCCAATGTTATTGCAAGTTATGCACCACCCTCCCATTGTTAATAATGATGGTGAGTTGTAATCTGCCTATACATTTGTGTGTACTAAAGTACTGAAAGGGAGGAGGGTAAGCCGCTTTCTAGAACTATCAATTTCCTTAGTGTGGAATGCCGCCCATGCCATGCTTTTTAGTAGAATTTGACATATTAATGTGCTGCAGAATCCTTCATTTAAGAACATACTGTTTTATCTCAGCATGCATAAGCCCCACCTGTTACTACAGTATATCGGGCATCACAAGGCTCTGCCAAAATACTACAGTAAAATGCACAGTAAAATATCTTTGGACAGGGTAGCAAACAAAATAATTAAAGCCACCAATACAACAAAAAAGGATCAACAGCGCAGCTTCTAAACTGATTGTTGGGGAAAGCTTCCAGAAGCTGAGGAGTGTCTGGTTTGGGATAATTCATCCTTAAGGGATGGGGATGGAAATGTTTATGATTGTCCAAATGGGAGAGGAGTAAAACTAGGCAATGAAAGTACAGAGAGACATGATAATAATAAAGAGGCCAAAGTTCTGTAAGCTAAAAATGCATGTATCAAAGAGAGACACTATGAATTGGTGTTTACTTCAATTACTACAGCATTCTCACCCTGGTATGAAATGCAAGCGTTGTTGAGTCGATTGGGAACAGCTGTTGTCTATACAGCACCTGAGAAATATAATAATAATAATAATAATAATAATAATAATAATAATAATGTGTGTTCTCCTTAATAGAGAGCACATGTTGCGGTGGGGTCTAGCAGGCCACCCCACTGTTGCTGGGCGGATCTGTTTGGATGGCCACAAGCTGTGATTGGGTACTTGTGTTTCTGGGGAGATTTTGATGTTGCCAATTTGTGGGTTGGGCTCAAAGGTTTTAAATATTAGGCACTACTTTGGGCTTTCTCTTTTGCTGCGTGCACCGGATCACCCACCCACCCTCCCTGAACTGGGGATTTTGCGCTTGACCTTGCTATGACTGTCATGGGGTCACCTGCTTTTGGGGCAGGGGCCTGGTAGTAATTTTGTTCATTTGGCTGATTGGCTGGAGCCATTTGGTTTTTTGCATAGCAAATCATCACAACTTGTAAGGTTTGTGGTTAGGCATTGGTTAAAAATTTGGTTGGTGGAGGGGTTAGTGCCTACCCCTCCAATGCTGGTGTTGCAAGGGTATTCTGTTAAAGGAATCCAGGGGCTTGCCATGCTTTAATCCAAGTCCCTGGCATCGGGCTTGGGGCGCACAAGCCTCTGGGAGAATACGGGGAGAGGTGAGAGTCTGGTGCCCAGCTTCATTTCTCCCCAATATTGTTTTCCCTGACTGGCTTCCGCTGGAATCCAGAAATCAGATCTGTCCCTGGGGCAAGGACAGATAGTCAGAACCAATGCCTAAGCAACCACTCACAGTTATGTATTTAAATAAAGTTGTGGCCAAAATTATGCCAAAAACCTTAAACAAAAATTATGTGTGATGTGTGAGTTATTGGGGTGGCTTGGGGACTTCAACATGCAATAATGTGCTTTTTTCTGGGGAGACACAGGGGTACACATACCCCTAAACATTTTATGAATCTTTGTACTTTTGTCCATTTACTGTATTTATTTTTCCTGATTTGAAGTATAAAATGGTGATTTTATTGAGTCAAAATGAGAGTACCCCAAACATTTTTTTAAAAGAAAAAAAGTACTGATAATAATAATTCTGAATTTGCTTATTCACTTGCTTTTGGTTGAGGTGCAAAGCAGCTTTGGGCATGGCAGAGTCGCAAGATGGGAATAGGAACTACAAACGACTTGTGCATCCTATGTCTGCAGTACTCTGTTTCATCTAAAAGAAATCCTTGTGAGATATAAATTCACACCTGTTGACACAGCCTGTGCATCTCACCATGGAGGATGTGAAAACTCAGTTTTGGACATGAGTGTGGCAACAGAGAAAGCGAGTGTAAGAGAAGAATGAGTATAAAAATGATTGACAGGTGTGATGGGGTGATGGGTGGAGTCAGAATGAGTGGTGGATCAGTTGAGAAAAGCAACTGGCAGAGAGGGGGAAGCAAATGGCACACACAGAGAGAATGAGGGCATAGGGAAAAGGCTGAGCATTCTGTTAGCTGTGTAAGAAGGGAGTCAGGCATGCTAGGTTGGGAAAGCAAAACTATTTATTATTTTTTAAATGACTATTTGTTCTGAGTGTTGTTTTCCATAAATCAATCGATGTGCTGATGTTCAGATTTATGTATGTGTTCTGGGGGAGTCTAGATTAGAGATGTCACTGCATGTGGCGCTTTAGAATTATGGCGACAAGTAAATAGAAGGAGAGTTCCGCTGCTCTCTGTAAACCACTAAGTGGCAGCAGCAAGTTATTTCGAGGACAACAAATGGAAGTCTGGATTCCATAGACCAGCTGAGAGACAGGCCTAGTGTGTCCTGGGGTGAGGGCCTTGTAAGGAATGTCTAGAATGGCACGGTGAGGGTTTTGTGTGTGTTTTTTTCAAAAATTTTTTTATTAATTTTCCAAATTTAAAACAAACAATTCATTGTAGCAGTTTTCCAAAACCATTTTCACATAAAATTTACTTAGTCAATTAATATATTTCTTTCTTTTCATTTTTTTAACCATAATATTCTACAACATTTAAATTATTTAAATTATTTAAATCTTAGGCCAATCTGGTGCTCGCAAGTAATTCTATTTAAATTATCTTAGCATATTTAGCTAAATAGTCTTTAAATTTATTCCATTCCTCTTGGGACGCCTGCTCCTTCTGGTCGCGGACTCTTCCAGTCAGGTCAGCTAGCTCCCAAAAGTCCATCATCTTCATCTGCCATTCTTCCACTGTTGGTACTTCTTGTAATTTCCAATTTTTGGCCAACAAAATTCTAGCTGCAGTTGTGGCATACATAAACAATCTGACATCTTTCTTGGGCAATTCCAGACCTGTTATTCCAAGTAGAAAGGCTTCTGGTTTCTTAATAAATGTATATTTCAACATTTTTTCAATTCATTATAAATCTTTTCCCAGAAGTCTTTCACCTTGGGACATGTCCACCACATATGGTAAAAGGTACCTTCTTTTAAGAAACATTTCTAACATAGATTATCACTCTTGTGGTAAATCTTTGCTAGTTTTACAGGGGTTAAGTACCATCTATACATCATTTTCATAACATTTTTCTTTAACACCGTACATACAGTGAACTTGACCCCTTTCCTCCACAACCTTTCCCAGTCTTCAAACATTATGTTATGTCCAGCATCTCTTGCCCAATCTATCATCACAGATTTAACTTGTACATCCTTTGTATGCCACTCCAACAATGGCACGGTGAGGGTTTTGTGCTGGTTGCCACCTTACCATTCCTGCAACGGGCTGCAAGTGACAGGGATCTCTTCATGGTAAGTGATCACTACTAGTTTGGCATGTGGAATGACATCATCGCACGGAAATTGTTCAAGCCCCTGTTTAATGTTCAGGGAGGTGGGGGGTATTGATGAAGGTGTAAAGACTGTCAGAATCCCTCACCCTGTGAGTAGTAATTCCAAATGCCAAGGGGTGAGGGGTGGTGGAAATCAGGCTTTGATGTGTCCACCAGCCATCAAAGAACCCAAGCAAGAACCCCAGATTAGGATACTGCCAGTCCTGCAAAGAAGGAGGGAAACTGCATGAAACATATGACTAGACCTTTCATCCTATCCTCACTCTGCACCCCAGGAGTTTCCCTTCTCCAGCAAGCCTTTGCCTGAAAGAAGGGCTAACTCCACTTAGCTTTAAATTGACGTATATAACAGTGGTTATCCTATAACTGTTTATATGCAATGGCCCCACTCTGCAGGCTGGCCATGACAGAAGCCATTTCTAGTGCAGAAGGCTGTCCAAGCTGCAACCCAGAAGCAGCTCACCACATGGTAAAGAGTGCCGCAAGAACATGTTTTTAAACTGAGGTCTCTCATCCACACTTTCCTTGGGGCCACATTCTCCAGGCACGGGTCCAAGATTTCCAGGGCTGGATCTACACTGGCCTGCTTAACATCATTAGAAAGATATTAGATACATCACAGGGCGTACCTGTAAAATAAAGTGTTTGTTACCTCCATCCAAACGCTGTCTCCCTACTGCTGGTTGCTCTCCATCACTCTCTGGTGTCACATTTTAATAACACATTATGAACGTTCCAAGTAGGACGTCATGTGGCCATATGGTTATCAAAACCATTCTTTAACGCTTCCTTAACGTTAAAAACCATGAGTGCAGATCTGCCCCAGGTCTGTGTCTAAGTGTTTTGTTGTTGTTGTTTTTTGTCCCTTGTCTGATATGTTGGTTAAATAAATTTTTCCCTTGGGAAAAACTCAGGGACAAAAAAAAAAAAATCCCCCACTTGGATCTGGAAATTCCAGACCTTTTCCTAAAAATGTTGCACAAATGGAAGTGTGCATGATCCCTAAGGCAGCTTTCATGTGGAGGCTGGAATGCAGACTTATCCATGGAAGACTTTAAATTCCCTGGAATTTAACTCAGCTCCAAGAATGTGAAGCTGCCCCCTGCAGCAGAAGATTTCTGCTTTCTTTGTTTTTCTGACAATTTCTTTTTGCTTTACAGCCTACTGAACCTAGACCCATTTTCTAAACACCCCAGAGTGGCAGAGATATCGGTGTCACATATTAACCTGCTCAGATTTCTGGTGGAAGCTCAGTCAGCATACTAAAAGCTCCTCGACCCAGGGAGGCAGAAAGTACTCAAAAATGAAGACAGGCTCACTTAACGCAGCACGCTGATGTTGAGTGATGAAGACAGAATAAAAATCTGACCAAGACGTCTGCTGCACATAGAAAAGATAAATACTGTTCTACAGATGGGAGCATTTTCTGAACTGCATTCTTCGTGTCTGTGTAAGCATATGTAACTGTAATTTCAAAACGGTCTAGCTTCGGATAGTTCTAGCTTTCCTTTCTTGCTTCAGCAACCACAAACCATGAAAGAAAATGCTAAGCAAGCTATGTAGATTACATCAGGGTCACAATTTTATAATTTATATACACAGAGAGAGACAGGGATCTACAACAATCTATCTATGTCTGACTCTAATCACTATTCCCAATTCTAAAGTGAGAGTGAGGAATGCTTATTCCTTCTATCAGTTTTGGCTGATACTATGGCTCTATGCCTGGGAAGCAGAATGTGACCTGAGACAGCTGCTTGCTCCCTTCCTTCTTTGTCCCCCTTCCTTTTCCTCTTCCTCTGCCCTCATTAGCTTTTCCTCCCTTCCCTTCCCCCTCCTCCGACCACTGCTGCTATTTCGGACCATCTTTACCCCTCAGTGTCATGCTCTGAGGAAGGGAGCTCCTGGCAGCATCCTGACCTTTAAGCTATTGAGTTCCCCTTGCCCTTGGGAGCTGCCTCGCAAGTGGCTGCAGGAGAGGGACTGTGAGCCCCCACAGAGCGGCTTCTAGCACTGAGGTGAAACTGTGAAGCCCTCTTGTTATTTTTGCTATTGGATGCTTCCCGTTTTTTCTGTAATCTGGCTATATTGATAGTACGGAAATCTGTTTCTTTTTTCGTATGTTATGTTTGCTGTTGCTTTGCTACGTTATTGTGAAATTGTTACTGGGTTGTTGTTTTGCTATGTTATGACATTGTTTCTATAGCGCTTGTTTGAAATGCGTTGGGGAAGGGGTAGGAAACTGGATCTGGTTGGCAAGCCAGATTTTTATCTCCCCTATCACTCATAGGCCAATTTGACAGAATGACAGGGTCGCCCACCTGTAAATCACTTGACATCATAAGGGCATCACACAATCAAAGTATCATAGATTGTAGAGTCAGAAGGGACCTTGAGGATCATCCAGTCCAAGCCCCTGCAATGCAGGAATATGCAGCTGTCCCATATGGGGATCGAACCTGCAACCAACTGAGCTATCCACTTGGTCATTAGGATTTCAGAGCGGAGCTTGCAAAGAGCTGTATGTGATGCACTGAAGCACTGCTGATCAGTTGAGCCTTGAAGTTGCTGCCTATTAAATTATAGGCAGGGACTTCAAGTCTGATTTCCGCAGGTATTGGCTGTACAATGAAATGGCCCATGGGGAACATATTTCCGTAGCCATTCCAACACGCATCAAGCACATCAGCTGATTGGTGGTGACAGCAAGCTTCCCTTGACAATGCAGTCAGGAGCATACTTTAAGGCAACTGCATCTCCACATTCCCTGCACCTGATGTCACGTATGACACCAGGTGTGGGACAGATGGGCATGGTTGGGGAAAAGCAATCCTGCAGGTTACATTAGGACGTGTGCCAGGCCTACCCATCACTGCATTATGGTGCAACATAAACTGGTATTCTGAAATCACATCTCACTATGCATTCATTCAAGATGCCATTGGTGGTAATCAATGTTAGTCACGGTGTAGACCCTTTGAAATCATGTATTGAAGTAACTTCATTCTTCTCCTCTGAGTTTGACTTGCTTGGAGCTCATCCAATGTGAATAAGCTGTCAAATCTTACCGGGTGAGTTTTCTGCAGATTTATTTATTATGTATAGGATTTATGGTCTGTTTCTATCCCAAAGACACCCGAGGCAACGTATACCTTGAAAACCCCAATACAATTCATTACACTATAAAATCCTTGGAAGTCCAATAAAAACCAGCATAATACTTTACTGATTCATCAATTATGGATAGACAGAGTGGTCAGCAATATGAATTTGCATCATCAAATGGTTACATTAATAGGGGCATCTATTGGGTCCTCTTTTTTTGGTAAGAGAGGATAGATAAATGCAGATAATGAAAAGTTTCAGATATCTGAGATGCACAGGATTTGTTGTCTTCATTATTATAAAAGCCAACATGTTCATGTACTGATTGAAAATATATGAAAGATACTATGAACTTCAGGACTTGGTCCCGATCCCCGCCATGTCAACCCTGTTTGGCTTGAATTAACAGAATTTGATCAGAACTTATAGATAGTGGGTTTTCATTGGCTAACACTTGAGCTGGACTGAAAATCCCCCTCCCCCATTTCACAATCCCAGTTGTATTCAACTTTCATAGGATGATGAATAATCTGGCATATGGGAAGTATTGGAAGAACATCTGGAGAATACATGAAATCAATATTCATGAAGAATTTTTGAGGGGGAGCAAATTATATTATGAATATAAAAGGCCAGGGGACATTAGAACGGAGAAAAGAAGAGTCTAGGATACAAAGAAAAGGGGGGACGACAAAGCATAGAAATGACAAGGCTATCAAGGAATATTGCCATTTAAAATATTTGTTCTGGTTTTTGTTTTGTTTTTTGTAATCTGCAATTGCACCTAATTATTATAAACTAGCTGAAATCTGGAAGCTGCATTTGCATTTTTATTTTACCTTTTTTATCTCTCGTTCTGGGTTTCTGCTTCCATAACTTGACAAGGAGCGTGCTAAGGATCATCTTCTACTTTGGTGATCTCTCATAGTGGAGTAAGATTGTCTTCCATAAACATGGTTTTAAACATCAGTCTGTAAGTGACTGTGGAGGCCAATTCTGGATCCACACGTCCTTCCATAGTGGGAACATAGGTTTCTGGGTGGGAAGTGATCACGGTGAGGGTTTACAATATCTGAGGCGACCCTTCCTGCATCCCAAAATGGTTTAAAACTTCTAGGATGACAGTGGACAGCTTCAAGAAAAATGCAGAGAGCAAAGCCAACCCCTGTATATGGCGTTCATTGACCTGACTAAGGCCTTTGACACCATCAATCGTAATACCCTGTTCTTCTGAAAACTGGCTGCCCAGTTGCTAAGGGTAAGCCAATCTTGAACACTTTCTTAGCACAACTGTATCCATTGCTGGTCCCCTGGCAACCTGGAACAAAGCATTATGACATCATCAGGGAGCTTGGCAACAGTTCATGACGCTTCCTGTTTGACTTTCTGACCGGCTGGCACAAAATCTCATAGCCAAGGGAAAATGAAACAGTAAAGAAAATGAGAAGGAAGAGATCCATTGTGCTATTGCTGCTGCAGAAGAAAGATAGCTGTCTGAATATATGAGCATCTTCCTCTTCAGCTCTTGGAGAAGTGGGAGCGATATGCTCTCTGAGCAGTAGTGGAATGCTTCTTTGTGAATGTAATTAAAGAAGAAGGTAGAATATCTTAAGAGTCTTAAGGAAATCCCTGTGTGCTTGAGAAACTTTTAAATACATTCCGGAATGAAATCTGCAAGAGTCTTCAAATCCCTGCATTGAGGTAATATGAAAGTTCACCTAAGAGATTTCCAAACATATGTTTGTATGTGATCTCAATGCAGCTTGAGCTCCTTCCGTGACCTAGTTCCACCACCAGCCAGTCACCATGAAGCAAGAGACTAGATCAAGAGAATTGGTAAAAAAAAAAAAAAAGCAATGTTATATAGTATATGCTGTTGGGGGGAAAATCTCAGTAGTCACATTTATTTCTGTAGCTCCTCCATAATGCACTCTAGGGAAAGAACCCTGCTGCTCTTTGCTGGTTCTCTGTGTGTTTTACTCTTGTGGCAGAGCATCTGTAAAAGAACAAGCACCATCTTCCCTTTTAGCAATGGTTCATATAATCTGTAGCAAGTCGAGCAGAAAGAGGAAATCTCCATCAATGGGTTCTTGAAAATCTGGAAGTGTTTCCCAAGTAGCGTTGTGTGCTCTCTGGGTTTAAACTGGGGCAACCCAGAGAGATGGGTGGGGTACAAATAATAAAATAATAATAAAATAATAAAATAATAATAAAATTATTAAACCTCAATTTTGGAGGGTTTATACTTTTTCTTTTTGATATATATTTTTATTAGTTTTCCGATATAAAACTATACAAAACAAAACATCCCATTTATCACCAACATCTTTTTTTTTTTACTTCAACATGTCTGATAATTCTCCGTCTTAATCACTTCTTGCACATTTCTTAATTTAATATTGCACTACAATAATATCTTAATTTACCTTATTTTTTAAACAATATTTCTACCATACATTCTCACAGAGCTTCCTGAAAGCTTACAAATGTTATCTGGTCATCACATATAGTTTTCATATAATCTGTAAATTTAATCCAGTCTTCAGTGAATCTCTGGTCTTGTCGGTTCCGGATCCTTCCTGTTAATTTATCAAAATCTGCGTATTCCATTAATTTCATTCTCCATTCTTCAATCGTAGGTAATTCTTCTTGTTTCCATTTTTGGGCCATTAGTATTCTTGCTGCCATTACTGCATATAAAAATAACTTCCATTCTTTCTTATTAATTTCATTTCCTATTATTCCTAACAGAAATGCTTCTGGTTTCTTAACAAATGTATATTTCAACATCTTTTTTAACTCATTATATATCCTTTCCCAAAAGCATTTCACTTTTTTACACTCCCACCACATATGGTAAAATGTTCCTTCTTTTTCTTTACACTTCCAACATTTATTACTTACTTTATACATTTTTGCTAATTTTACTGGTGTTACATACAATCTATATATCATTTTCATCACATTTTCCTTTATTATAGTACACACAGTAAATTTCATCCCTTCATTCCACAATTTAACCCAGTCTTTAAATTGTATATTATATCCAGAATCTTTGGCCCAATGGATCATAACTGATTTAACCTCCTCGTCCTTTGTATACCATTCCAATAATAATTTATACATTTTATTTTTTTTTTTAAAGCAATTTATTGGGTTTTACAATAGGAATAAATGTAATAAACAATATAGCATTCGTCTTAACATAATTTCACATTTTCTTTGGACTTCCTCACATCTCCCGCTCCCACCTTCATCATTATAACATTTTGTCAGCAATTTATCATCTTATTTAAATTCTTATATCTCTTCGATATTTCATAATCTTAAAGTTCTCATAAAGAGTTAAACTTTCACAACTTTTCTTGTTTCCTTAAAAATTTCTAAGTTAAGTGGTGCTCAGTTATTTAGTCCAGCATCTTATTCAGCATTCAATCAAATCACAATGTTTTTGTAGGTAGTTCTTAAATTTCTTCCAATCCTCCTCGATTCTCTCTTCTCCCAGGTCACGGATTCTGCCAGTCATTTCAGCCAGTTGCATATAGTCTATCAGTTGCATCTGCCATTCTTCCAGTGTGGGTAGATCTTGGGTTTTCCAATGTTTTGCGAGTAGTATCCTTGCTGCTGTTGTTGCATACATAAAAATGTCTGGTCCTTCTTTGCCACCCCTTGGCTGACAATACCCAAAAGGAAGGCCTCTGGTTTCTTAGTGAAAGTATATTTAAATACCTTTTTCAATTCATTATAAATCATTTCCCAGAACGCCTTCACTTTAGGGCATGTCCACCAGAGGTGAAAGAACGTTCCTTCACACTCTTTGCATTTCCAGCACTTGTTATCAGACAGGTGGTAAATTTTTGCGAGTTTGACTGGGGTCATATACCATCTATAAATCATTTTCATTACATTTTCTTTCAAAGCATTACATGCAGTAAATTTCAATCCATTACTCCACAGCCTTTCCCAGTCCTCAAACATAATATTATACCCAATATCCTGTGCCCACCTTATCATAGCCGATTTAACCATTTCATCTTGTGTATTCCATTCCAACAGCAAGTTATACATCCTTGAAAGTATCTTAGTCTTTGGTTCTAACAATTCTGTTTCTAATTTCGATTTCTCCACCTGGAACCCTAGTTTCTTATCACTTTTAAAAACTTCTTTAATCTGAGCATAGTGTAACCAATCTCGCACTTTGTCTTTCATTTTCTCCAAGCTCTGCAATTTCCAATTGTCTCCATCTTTTCTAGTATTTCCCAATATTTTGGCCATTTGGCCTCCATATTGGGTCTTTTCGGGCCTTAGCTTCCAAAGGTGAAAGCCACCTTGGTGTTTTATTTTCCAGCAAGTCTTTATATTTTGTCCAGACATTAAACAGTGATTTTCTAACAATATGGTTCTTAAAGGCCTTATTTGCTTTAACTTTGTCATACCATAAATATGCATGCCATCCAAAAACATTGTTAAACCCCTCCAAATCTAACACATCAGTGTCTTCAAGAAGTAGCCAGTCTTTTAGCCAGCAGAACGCTGCGGCTTCATAGTACAACTTTAAGTCCGGCAGGGCAAAGCCCCTCTTTGTTTTGCATCGGTTAGTATCTTAAACTTAATTCTGGGCTTTTTGCCCTGCCAGACAAACTTCGAAATGTCTCTCTGCCACTTCTGAAAGCACTCCATTTTGTCCAATACCTGCAGTGTTTGAAATAAAAACAACATTCTTGGCAATACATTCATCTTAATCGCAGCAATTCGGCCTAACAAAGAAAGTTTCAATTTTGACCAACTGTCTAAGTCTCTCTTAATTTCTGTCCAACATTTTTCATAATTATCCTTAAATAGACTTAGATTTTTGCTGTTATGTTTACCCCTAGGTATTTTACTTTTTAACCACATTAAGTTCCGTCTCATTCTGAAACCGTTCTGACTCTGTCTCAGTCAGATTTTTCCCCAAAACCTTAGTTTTCTGTTTGTTTAATTTAAATCCCGCCACCCGACCAAAATCATTAATCAATTGTAATACTCTTTTCGTACTAGGCTCTGGCTTCTGCAAGGTCAAAACCAGGTCATCTGCAAAAGCTTTTAATTTATATTGTTTCTGACCAACCTGAATTCCTTCCACCAGCTGGTCCCCTCTAATCATGTTCAATAGCACTTCCAGGACCGAAATAAATAACAAAGGGAAATAGGGCAACCTTGTCGTGTCCCTTTTTCAATTTTGAACTCTTCTGTAACCACATTATTAACTATCAGTTTTGCTTTCTGTTCTGAATATATCGCCTCAATCCCATTCTCAAAACCCCGTCCCACTCCCATCTCTTTTAAGTTTCCCATCATAAATTTCCAAGAAATGTTATCAAAGGCCTTCTCCGCATCTATAAAAATTAAAACAGCTTTTGTATTTATGTCAGTTTGGAGAAGTTCCAAAATATCAATAATGTTCCTTGTGTTAGCAAACAAATGTCTACCTGGGAGAAAACCGGCCTGGTCCTTATGAATTACTTCATTTAAAACTTTTTAAAATCTACTTGCCAAAATATCTGCAAATATTTTGTAATCCACATTTAAAAGGGAGATGGGACGGTAGTTCTTCAGTTGTGTCTTTTCAGTTTCTGACTTTGGTATCAATGTGATAAACGCTTCCTTCCACGAATCCGGTGCCCTCTTCCCTCCATAATGTCATTGCTAACCTCCATCAAGGGTTGTATCAAATAGTCTTTTAGTGTCTTGTAATACTTGGAGGTCAGCCCGTCTGGCCCTGGAGATTTGCCAAGTTGCATGTTCTGAATAGCTTGTTCAATCTCCTGTCGTGTTATTTTAGAGTTCAGGATTGTCCTATTTTCTTGTGACAGTTTAGATAATCCATTTTTGCCAAAAATTGTTTAATCTCAACTTCGTCTTGCGGCCCTTGGGTATATAATTTTTAAAATATCTCTGGAAACACTTTCTAATGTCCACTGGATTCTGAATGTTTCTTCCATCAACCTCTAAATTTGTAACCGTGTTTAATCTTTGTCTTCTCTTCAACTGCCAGGATAGCAGTTTTCCACATTTATTCGCCGACTCAAACGTTTTTTGTTTCATTAATTTGATCTTCCATTCAATTTCCTGATTTATCAATTTAGAATACTGTGTTTGATACAGTTTAATTTCTCTCAGAGTTGGCTGTGACTTTGGATTCACTCTTAATTTCTTCTCTAATTCTTTTATTTTATCCAAAATGTTGTCTTTTTCTCATTTTGTGTTTTTTCTTTACTACATTCTGTTGTATCAGGAATCCCCTCATGACAGCTTTGCTTGCGTCCCAGACGATTCTTTTTTCCACCGAATTGTTCATATTTATCTCAAAATAATCTTTCAAAACTTTTTGGGCCTTCTTGGTAATTTCCTGATCTCTAAACAAATTGTCATTCATCTTCCATCTAAAGGATCCAGTTGGTAGTAGTGTCATGTCCATCTTTACTGCGTTGTGGTCAGAACAGGTCTTTGGGCAGATTTCCACTTTTCTAACCCTAGGTGCCAGGCCTCTAGAGATCCATATTTGGTCGATTCTTGTCCAGGTCAGTTGGGCTTCAGAAAAGAATGTTCCTTCTCTACCTAGTGGGTTCTTTGTTCAATAATTTATACATTTTAGACAAAATTTTTACGTCATTATTCAGTACTTCCAATTGATATTTTGATTCATTGTCGGTAAAACCTCTTTCTAATACATCTTTTTTAAACATTTCATTAATCTGAAAATAATGCAACCAATCATTTACATATTCTTTTACTTCAGCATATGGTTTCAGTTTCCATTTACTTCCTTCTTTCATTATTAAACTCCCATATGTTAGGGGTTTATACTTTTTCTGGTGTCTATGAGGAGGACTTGAATTTCTGGGTAGGGGACAAGGATCATCCACTCCCAGTCTCTTTCCTCCATTCCAACATAACTTTACAGTTCTCAATGCTTTTTTTTACTTTCATGAAGAGTGACTAAGAGCAGAACAACTTTTCACACATAGCCATTCCCTGTGAAAACATATGAGAAAAGGGAGAATGGCTTTGCACATGAGGTAATCTAGGAGAGACTTAAGATCTCTTCAAAACTCTTTGGTGAAAGCAGAAATAGGCTGAAATTTCTCTGAAATTTCTCTCCCTGCCCCCATTTTCTCCACCCACAATTTTGGGTCAGCTCTGCCATTTTTATTTTAAATTGCAACCCTGTTTCTGGAGCATTCAAATTGTGGAGCTAAAAGTTCCCCATGTGGTGACAACTTAACAGAGAAAGGCAGTTGCAAATTGGCATATGTTGCTGTCAAGTCTGTCAGTCTTATGGAGAGAAGGAAGGCAACATTAAACTTATTTTAACATTTATTTTACCGACACTGCATCTCCTCCACACAAAGCCTCACTCTCCTCCAACTCTGCCTGGCTACATAGAAACAAATGCTGGATGTCTTCTACAGCAGAGCAGAAATGTAGGAGAAAGTGCTGCAGGAAAAGAACTGACTTTCTCCTTTTTTTTTAACCTGGGAAATTTGAATACAGCATGTGCTGATTTTTCAGGAAAGGACGTCTCCCATGCATTAATCCACTGCTGAGTTAAAGCATGGGGTGCTACAAAAAGAAAGACCGACTTAACAGTATAATGAAGGGACCAAGCCAAGAAGAAAAGTGTGTGCGGCTGTCAAAGTTATGCAGCTAAGAAATCAGTGAGGCAGGGAGCCTTCTGACAATGGCAAGTGGGGAGCGCAACTGAGGGCTTGATGTTATGAATGATAGGTTAAAAAGTTTCCGGATGTGGAGGGGCTGACATGCAACCACATCCCTGCAGTGAAGAAATTACCTAGCTGCAGAGTCCCAGTCGCCCTGCTGTTTATACAGAATTGCTTTAATAAGACCGTAAAAGAGGAAATTACAATGGCACAAAGCAGAACAATATGTATAGTTCAGTGGGAAAGCCATAAAACAAGCAATAGGGAGTATTGCTCTCGCAGCTTGGCCCATTATTTTACGGGGCACTGCTGCTCAGCAAGGTAAGCTGATGCTAGAGATGATTACCAAGGCTTGAAGTCAAGGAGGGCCCAAGATGCTAAAGCTCAGATGTGCTAGCGAGTGATGGCATAAGCGTAGGTTCTATGGCAGAGATTGTATGGATACCTGAACATTGGCTAGATGGACAAGTCAATTCTATGATGGTTGGTTCTAATAGCTAACATTTTGGTATGTTATACTTGATATGAATTTGTCTTTATTTAGCAGTGCATAATATTTTATCAGCAACATGCAACAGTGTTTCAGACTTGTCAGAATTCTAGAGTTGGCATGCAGTGGCATTTAGTATTAGACAGCTTATAAGATTTCATATGTGACGGTTGCTAAATCAGGCAAGAGATGTCACCAACCTAAATCACTCACATTTTGAGGAAAGCTTTCGTACTTTTTTTTTTTTAAGTGAATTTCAGTCTCAAATTTGACACCTGACATTCAAAATCTGAATTGTGAGACTGAACATTTTAGTGAATATTTGTGGACATTCATTTAGGCTCAGCATAGTATTATCATATCATGTGGAACTTTTAAGCTATCAAATGTTGAAACACAGTAGTCCCACTTGTGACTACCCTACTGCTTCAACCAAATTTGCTGGCACGAAATCCTGGATCTTTCAGAATAGTTGACATCATGATGTATCAACAACTAATCAGCAGTCAAGAATCCTCTTTAATAAAAATGCCTTGTTGTTTTCCTCAGGATCATTTCCCTTAGGACCAAAAAGTCTGTTAGGCATCTCTTTACAAGCAAGATTCCAAGATGAGATGTGAGCGTTTGAAGTTTTTATTTGAGTATGAAATTTTTACAACAACAACAAGCTGAGGTGCATTCTGTCACATGATCCGCCGCATGCAGACCAAAATGGTGTACTCCTAGGAAGGCTGTACAGATTGAGTTCTCTGTAGGTGTCAAGCAGCCCTGAGGCATCAGCATATCAATCTAGATTGCCCCCAGTGTTTCAGGCAAATAAAGAAAGAGGTAAAGAAAGTTATATTTGAGCTCTGCAGTGTTTAACTTCTTTATTGGTTGTGGTGATCCAAAGCAACAGACCAGGCTCAGAATCCATCTTCTCCATGTTTGACCTGTGCCCTAAGCTTTACTGCTTTTAGTGATGAATGCTAAGCACTTTCCTATTCAATTTTGCTGGGCAAAATGTAAACATGACTTTCATAGGCAATCTTTTACGAAGGAAATCTATACACACACACACATATATATTATTTGCTTTGTATCCTGCAAATTTATTCTTATTCTTTTCAAACATCTCATCTGGTTGAATTCAGGAAAACAACAACTCTGCATTTATCAATGCAAAAGGTTGGCATCATTTCTTGAGATAATTGTTACCATGTAACCTGACTGCTCACTTCATGCTGTAATAAGTCATGTAACTGGCTGTAATTTTCCTCTGTTTTCAAGTTTCCAGTAGATTCCAGGGATCTTGAAAGTTAAATCTAAAGTTGCCTGATTTATTCAATGGTGGCTATCTAGTCTTTTATATATTGTATGTGTTTGGATTATTAATGTATTTGAATAACTTTGTATGATTGTATGATTTTATCGTTTAAACCTATGGCAATAAAGGCCAATAACAACAATAATGACTAGTGCAGCTGGCCTTCTTAATATACTTTGTGTGTGTGTGTGTGTGTGTGTGTGTGTGTGTGCAAATAGCAGTCAGAGGGAAGCCTGAGCAGCCTCTGGACCATTGGCAGTGGATAGATTGGGGAGGAGAAGTTAAAATTTCTCTCTCTGCCACGAGGAAGCCTGACCAAAAAACACCTCTTCAAAGTTTCAATTTGCATGTCAAGGGACACTCCCAGTGGGTTTTAAAAAAAACAACACACACACCCACCCTGTCAGACCCATGGTGCAGTCTGAGAGTATTAAATTCCTCATCCCTCATAGTCCCAAGGCTGCTTCCTTGCAGAGCTATTTATATAACAAAAACGTGCACATTAATTGTTGTCATGCAGTTAGCATCATGCACACCCTTAGACACGGGTAATTACTCTAGATCAGGCATGGGCAAACTCAGCCCTCCAGATGTTTTGAGACTACAATTCCCATCACCCCTGACCACTGGTCCTGTTAGCTAGGGATAATGGGAGTTGTAGTCCAAAAACATCTGGAGGGCCGAGTTTGCCTATGCCTCTTCTAGTTTTAACTTCTGATGGGGAAGGGCTAGAGATCAGAGGTTGAGACATCTGTTTTATTTGCACACGGTTTCAAATTCCAAGCCCTGGCACCTTTAGGCAGGACTGGCCTGAAACACAGGAGAGGTGCTGCCAGTTAATATCTGCAGTAATGAGCTAAGTGGACCAGCCGACTGGCTCAGTATGAGGCAGCTTCCTATGTTTCTGTTATGCCGCATTTAGGTTTAACATTATGCTGCTGCAGCAAGGTGTGCACTCTAGGAGTCACTGCCTGGGACACAAAATGGATGTTGACCCCTCTCCCCCCCCAAAAAAACCCCAGCTCATACTCACTTGACATAATGTGTGTTTTCCCTCTCTCACTCCTCCAGGGAGCGTGGGCAGGGAAACACACAATGTGATTAATGTCATGGGAACATGTTTCAAGGACAGAGCTAGAGAACGGCTTCCTATTTGCAGAAGCAAACCAGTGCTTGGCATCGCACCTAGTTGTGTTCAGAACAAGCAGAACCATGACCAATCAAAACTCTCTGACAAGTATATCTATAAGATTTTTTTTATTAAAAAATCAGTAGCATGTTATTCCTTTTCATTAGCCATAATTTCAAAAGCAAAGGAGATTAAAAAAAAAAATAGAACAAAAACGTTCACGTTCTGAAAAACAGATATATTCAGAGATATTGTGCCATTGGGTGAAAATGTTGGTTACGTTCACACAGGGCTCATCTACACTAACATTTGTTCCACATTTCTAGGCACAGAATGAAGCTTTCCAGGTCTGTGTCAGCACTTTTTGGTGGTGGCGCTGCTGCTTTCCCCATGAAAACCCGTTCCTTACCGATCAAATGGAAATCCATGGAATACCCAAATTTCTGTTTGCTCCGATTCAGCAGTAAAGTTTGTGTTTTCCTGGGGAAAGTGGCAAGGAGAGGTGGGGGGCAAGTACTCAGGCACAGCCCAGAAAAGCACAGACCTGTCTCTAGAAAGCATGGGGCAAAAGGTATTAGTGGATAAGCCCATACTTCGTCATTTTTAGGCTTACATTTTAATCCTCTTAGAAAATGTAACTTGTGGTGAAAGGATGGGGCTTGGAAGAATGGTGCTCAGACATCATATTCCATGGATCCGACACCCCTAATGGGGTCTGGCTTTGTTAACAATCAGTTCCCAATCCTGCCAAAGTTCAAGCCACATCAAAACAGGTCTATTTTGCCCCCCTGAATGCAAGACTCCTCTGCCTCCCCCTGCCCCCCACTCCATCTCAAACCTTCTCGGGAGAAAAGATATATAGAACTCAAGATTTAAGAGCTGGGTGCTGCTGTGAGCATGCACAGCACAGTTAATTTGCCCTAAGGAGCATGGGGACTTCCCAGCACCAATACACGCTCATAGCAACACCCAAACCTGAAGTTGATGGTTCCACAAACCTTCCTTGAGATGCCCCACCATCTCCAGTTGCTTTGAGAAGAGAGAGAGGGTGCAGCAGGGACAATTTGCAGTAGAGTTTGACAGTGGGGTGACCTCTATTCTCACCTTGTTCCTAATCTGTTTTTTTACAGTGGAACCTCATGTTACATACCGTCCCCCTTGCAAACATTGCGGGTTATGAGCTCCGCTAACCTGGAAGTAGATGCTCCCGGTTGTGACCTTTGCCCCGGGATGTGAGCAGAAGTCAAGCTCCGGCAGTGCAGCAGCAGCAGCGGGAGGCACTATTAGCAAAAGCATGCCTCGTGTTACGAACGGTTTTGGGTTGACAACGGACTTCCAGAATGAATTAAATTCGTAACTGGAGGTACCAATGTATAGGGCCTATTCCCCACGGGGAATGTTCACCTATCACTAACGTGTGAAGTGGCTCTCTGGTTTTCACTGACACTCAAGAATGTTTGAAATAGACAACTTACAAAACCATGGGGTAACACAGAAAGAAACAGTGATGCCTCATGCACAGGGCATCCAATTTGTCGTCTTTGCTTAAAGAAAACCCGCAGCTACAATGCTGACCTAACAACCGGGTCTCCTCTTTGTCTCCTTCCATTTTGCAGTGCTTTCTAGAGTGGCCACTGTCGGAAGCGTGTCATTACTCGAGTGCTAATGAATTTTCATTTTATTAAAACACTTTAAGGCTAGAAAGTGTGCCCCCAACTCATTACTGTAGTAATTGAGTATACATATTTATTTCTCTGCCATAATAGCTAAAGTGCTTAATAAAATTGCTCCGGTACAGGAAAGAGGCTGTAATCATTGAGGGGCAACAAATAAGAATTGTGCAAATTTACCAATTGCACTCTCTAACTACACTCTGATGGTTCATAAAGGAAAGCTGGCTGCTTGTATGCACTCTGGTTTATGGTCGAAAATATAATTCCTTTTAATAAAACATACAGCACATTACACAGTGGTAAGGTCGGTTCTTTGCTGCTCCTCTGCTCTGAATATAATACAATTTTATTTTGGGATTATTCTCTTTCAGGACTGCTATGGCCACAAGCCAGAACGATGTGTGTACTCAATGTTCTTATTGTCAGGTAGGGCAGACAAGACTCCCAAAGGCATTCAGTCCTCTAATAAAAGTATTGCCTTGCCAGATCTGACCAATCCCCAGCGAGGCAAACACCCTGTTTCCAACAGCAACCAGCCAGAGGCCCCTAGAGAGTTCACAAGCAGGGCATGAAAAGCAATGACCATCTCCTGCTGCTCGTCTTCAGCTTTTGGTATTCAGGGATATTGTGCCGCTGGACAGAGAGGAGCTATAAAGGCATTGTGACTCACTGCTGGTGATAAGACCTAGGCTCCAAGAATTTGTCCAGATTTGTGAATGCATCTCTTTGCCCTTTTACAGCTTGCAACCAGGAAGTTCCACTTGTACACATAAGGTACCCGACCACTGACAAAATTGCAAAGAATGGTGTGGCAATCGCACAGGGCCCCTGGACGTTTCACAGTCTATTGACCCTGTGCCACCACTGCGACTGCTTTCTTTGCTGCCACCACCCCGCTTCTCACGGGGACACACGGAGTCCAGACAGTTAACATAAACAAATAATCAAGTTTATTTTTAAATGCAGGAACAAGCGTATGGTTGCAGTTTATTTTTCTCTTGTCAGTTTCCTAATCTTAGTTCCTAACAACTTCCAACTGAATTATTCCCAACTATCTATCTGACTCCACCTAACAATTCCTCTCACTCTCTCACAACACAACTCTACCAACCCACTCCTAAGCCTCCCTCTTCCTTCTCCAACACCCAAGCCTCAACTCCCAACTGACAAACCTCAACTGACTTTCAAAACCTCCCACTCTATCTTTTACTCCCGCCCTTGCATTCTCACTCGCCAATCACATCACACCCATTTTAACCCTTGACCCATCCTAGGAGGCAAACGCCACAAATGGCTTGCAATATTAATGGAGGTCGGCGGGGGGGGGGGGGGATGCTAGCCAAATTTGATGGAAAGAAATCCTGCTGCACTCACAGGTCCAAGCTCTTCATCAGGTTCTCTCACAAGACTCACTTTCACTGCTAAATCCATGGTAGAGACCCTATGACAGTCCAATTCAATTACATACTATCAGGAGTGCGTAGGGCTATTATTTATATCACTCATGCAGCAGTAAGGGCCAAGGGGATGAAACAGCAAGTTGCCTCATAATATGTAAAATCAGTCACATAGTTATAAATTTCGCTACATCATCGGTTGGCAGAGGCAGCAAAATGCACAATGGCAATGATGCCATGATACAGGGTTCATGATCTTAAATATTGTAGGGTGAGAGGAAACTCAACCTGAAGGTGTCATTTTCAGCAGCTGCCTTGTGTCTACATATATACAGTCTTACCTTGGAAGTCGAATGGAATCTGTTCCGGAAGTCCGTTCAACTTCCAAAATGTTTCTGATTGGCTGCAGCAAGCTCCTGCAGCCAATAGGAAGCCACGGAAGCCACGCTGGATGTTCGGCTTCCAAAAATAGTTCACAAACCAGGACTTCCGGGGAGGCACCTCCGGCAATGGCGGAATTCCTCTGAACGGGAGGAATCCGCTCCGTGAGAATCTGGGTCTGGTCGCCACGGCGAAGGCGGAGACCCGTTAAAATCACAGGCGGGAGAAGCCTGTGAACGTGGGATTCGGTGGGCACCTTTTGCGCCTCCCCCACTCGTGGGGAACCCCGGGTTTGGGGGCTCCGGAGCGACGTAGGGTGAGCGGCGCGGTGCATCGAATCGTCGGCTTCTTTCACGGAGCGAAGCCGCATAGCTGTTGCCGGAGAGCGCTGACCTTTTCCTGTGGACAATTTGACTTTAAAGTATTTACCCGTGAGTAGAGCTGAAGCGGAAGAATTGGATTTCTAAAAGTTTAATTTGGTATCGTAACGGGGAGGTTCAAAACAGGAAGTCTGCCTTCCCCTTTTGTAAATAGACTGAGGCAATGAAGTTGCAAGCTGGAGTCCTGGAAGGTCTTTTGTAAAAGATCAAATTTCCAATGGTAAAGAACATTAAACAGTCTTGGAGGCAGGAGAAGAGAGGGGGAAGTTGTGGATTGAGTATGCCTGCGGGAAAGAGCGAAGAGACTTAAAACACCGCAGCTCTGACCCTGGAAACAGGCTGCTAGTAGGACTGATGTCTTTTGGAATGTTCATTGACAGCGCTTAGAATGTTCATTGACAGCTAGTTAAATAAGAGAAATACATTGTTTCTACTGTCTTCGGCTGCTTTAAAAAGGAATAAAAGTAACTGAAAATTGAAACTAATTTGAAACTAACTTTGGATTGTTTAAAAGAGGATACTATTGACTATTACAAACAGAAACTGTTTCCCCCTAGTGGAAGCCTTTGAAACTGGTTGCTTTACAAGAGTTGGACTAGGGGAATTTCCAGCTGCAAGTTAAAAACCATGAGACTCTGGGACTGACCTTGAATCTTTCAAATGTTATGGTAAATGGAAGAGGAAAAACAGACCAGTCAACTGCTGACAAAACATTAAGGTCTGGGAGGACTTGGTAACAATCCAGGAGAGGTCTATCATTAGGCCCTCCTGATCTTTTTGTTGCTGTCTTCATAAATGTATATTTGAAACCAAGAGGAATGTCGACAGAAGAGGCTTTGGTGGCTGCATTATATAAGATAAATGACTCATTGGATCAGCTTCACAGGAAAATGGACATGATAAATGCGAAAGTGGATGTTTCAATTGCTGAGGTTGACTTGAATGCAGGGAGTATGGATAATACCAATACAGAAACCACCCAGAAATTGATACAAGAACCTATTTCGATATGGCAAGCTGTGGAGGAAGTCAGGGAAAAAGCTGTTGCTGCTTTTTAAAGAAACACAACTGGAGAGAAAGAGAAAGAGAACCCTAGCCCTACAGAGGCAATTTGTTGAACATAAGTTGATGCTCGCTATGACTGAACTTAAGGAAAAACAGACGAATTTGAGGATTAGAGTTCACCTTTGGTGGACATGCCCAAGGATTAAGACACTCTGGGAGATGATTCATAACAAAATGAAAAAGGTATTTAAATATACCCTTTTGAAGAAACCAGAGGCCTTTCTCCTGGGCATGGTCAGCAAATTGGTGTTAAAGAAGGATAGAATTTGTTTCATGTATGCAACAATAGCAGCAAGAATACTCATTGTGAAGTACTGGAAGACACAAGATTTATCCATTCGGGAAGAATGGCAGATGAAGCTGATGGACTATATGGAATTGGTGGAAACGACTGGCAGAAATCCGAGACCAGGGAGAAGAGCTGGTGGAAGAAGACTGGGAAAAGTTTAAGACTATTTATAGAAATACTGTAAAAATAATGAATGTTAGAAAAATGTTGGAATGAAGTTATATGGTTTTAGTAGAAATGCTATAAGGAATCAAGTATAAATAGATTAATAGTGTATTAAAGGGAAAATAAGGCTAGAATATGCTAAGATAATTATAGGATAGGAAACAGAGGAAGATGGAAAGGAATTGCTGAAATAATTAATAGAAGTGGAAAACAGAAAGGGAGGTGTGAGGAGGTCGTGGAAATAAGGGAATGAAAGATAAGACATTGAAATTGTTCTGTGTTTGAAATGGTTTGTGTTATGCTTTATGGTTTATGTTTTTCTTTTTTTCTTTTCTTTTTGTTCTTTCTTTTTTTGTCTTTCTGTTTTGTTGTGTTTTAATGGTTGAAAATTAATAAATATTATTTTTTAAAACAAAAACAAAAACAAAAATAGTTCACAAACCGAAACAGTCACTTCTGGGTTTGCAGCGTTCGGGAGTCAAAACGTTCGAGAACTAAGCTGTTTGAAAACCAAGGTACGTGTGTGTGTGTAAACTAAAGATCCTAGGGCAGTGTACAACATTAAAAACTTAATTTACACAGCATAATAATAAAAATACAACACACAGAATAATAATAAATAAAGTAATCATAATAACAATCTCTCTCTCCCACCCACCCCCTATTTACCATATTATTTAATAGCCAAAAGCCTGGATAAAGAATGGCACTGGGTGAATCTCTCTGAGGAAAGGACAATATTTAGTTATAATATGTAGTTCCACTCCCTCACTGGTCTTAGGAAACCCACTATTTCTCACACAAGGAAATATGGTACTCTATATTTGCTATCTTCTTTTCTTTTAGTATGCAAACGTTACATAAATCGTATTATTTTCTACAAAAAAATTTTTACGTTTCCCTTCCAATGAAAAGCACTTAAGTTGATTACACAATTAATTTTATTAGTTTCAGCCATAGCTGATAATGAGACAACCTAAGTTTTAGCAGAAGCTGAACTGTAGCAGAAAGGAAACAGTGCCAGGGTTGTGATCAAGACATGACGGGATGAATATTGCTACCTCCTTACATGCCTAGTTTCACTACAGCCCTAGTGTGAGCATATTGACCTGGAATTCCAGAACATGTCCTGATCAACACAGGAAGTTAATATCTTTGTCAGCTTCCCATGACTGTGTCCAAAATGCAAGAGTTTATAAAGGATAAGGAGACAGGAGGCATGAAGAGTGGAATGAAACAAACCAACTTGACCCCAAATGTTTGCCTACTGAGGAATTCAAAATTAATTTTCAGGTTCAGAAATTTTATGGGGGTGGGGGTGTTTAAATAAGTCTAACCAAATCTGGTCAGGAGAAGTCCTACACATTCCAAAAAAATTGGCACCAGTAGAGTTATCTTCACCTGCCCTACCCACCTGCTGAAATTAGGTTTGCAAGAAGCATTCTGTCATAGCGAATACACTAGGTTGTGGTGACTCCTTGGTTGTAGTGTGTTTGTGTGTGATGCCCACAACAGTTTCTCTAGTTTACAAATGTGTCCACAAATCCAAAAAGGTTCGTGATACCCTGAAAAGTCTGAAGCTGATTCAGAGAAGGAAGACTTTAGGAGAGGTGTGATGTAGTAACCTCAACAAAAGTAATTGGAGTTGGAATGTACGGCTGTTACATTTATTTCCCCCTATTGGTTGAAAATAAAATTAGCTGCACCAAACTAGCAAATATGAACATCTTTATTTTATACAAAGAGATATACTGAGCTTGCCAGTTGGGTTATCCCAAAATCTCAGTGCTATTATTATTAATTACCCAGTTTAAACTCCAGTGGTAATGAAATTACTCTGCAGCCTCTGTATCCTTACAGTTGAAAGACATAGTGTGCTTAAGAAGAATATATTGTAGCACTTAAAACATCATTTAAAAATCATTTCACAAGAGGCGTTACTCTTGAGAATACAGGCAGTATTCCAGCTAAGTACTTAAGATGTGCTAATGACTCTGCTGGACCAGGGCCACAGAAACAATGTTTCAATTGCTAGCCTACAATAATTGTTTCTTACAAAAACTACAATTATCATTCCTCCGTCTATTTTAAGGAAGACCCTCTGTGAGGGTTTCCATAAAAGAGGACACATTTGCTGGTGAGTGGGGTGGAGGAAGGGAGAGGGCGCATGCTAGAGCACACTGTAGGTGTGACATCGGAAGGCGCCAGGGAGGGCGGTGGCAAAATTTGTGCATGCAAATTTGGGGGTGGGGTGCAGGCAGGCAGGCAGGCAGGAAGGAAGGAAAGCTGCCTCCCTTTCTTTGGCGTGTGCATGGGGCGGTGGGCAGGGGGCGGAAGGCGTACAAAATAATTAATTAATTAGCCCAGGAAAAGCCATGAAGCAACATGGCAACTTTTTATGTAGAGGAAGAGACTGACGAAAAGCTCCCCTGGTACCAGAGAAAAAAACCAGGACATTTTGGCAAATTCAAAAAATCCACCAGGACAGAAATTTCCTCCCCGAAAAAGGGGACATGGCCAGAAAAAAGAGGACGTATGGCAACTCTGTGCATATCAAGGCTGACACCAGAGTCTTGGGGTCCCTCAGTAGGGAGCAACCTGGGCCCTTTTTTCCTACCTGGGTGGGTTCTGTTTCCCTCAGCAGTCACAGTTGTGGCTGTTATCTTTCTTCCCCGCCACCCAGATTAATGAGCTGAAAGATCTGACGCATTGTGGGTGGGGGGGAAATGGTGCCACAAAAAATGGCACCAGTTGTTTTTTTCCATTTTGTTTTATGCAGAATATAGTAAAGGGGGAGCTTCTGGTGCATTTTCTACTGGAAAATATGGTAGCCACATCCACAGCTCCCAATGGGACACCCCACAAGCATCACCCAATCATGTTATGTGATGATGCTGAGTCTGTAGCCTTTTGAAAAATGTGGGTCTTTAATAAGGTCCCAAGCATTAACTGGTAAGTTTAGCTGAATAATTGGAATAGTCTACTTTTAACTAGTGAGGGTCAACTTTGGTTAGCAACTCTTGGAGTTAAGACAAAACTTGTTTGTTTGTTTCATAAAAACTGTTTTATTTTGGTGTGTTACTGTTAACAGTGAATTTAAAACTATGGTACCACTAGTTTATTAAGTTGTAAATCTTACACTTCCACTGGTATCTTGTTTTGGGTGTTGGTAGCAGATGAGCCAAATATAGTACATTAATGAATCAATCTGTTAAAATGTAGGTGATTAATGTGTTATTTCCAATATTGCAAGTTGCTACACAAGATTCAAGTCACCCAACCCCTTCTGTGCTGGGCATGGTCTCCATGAAACATGAAACTCCTGGTTTTTCTCAGGGGCCTGAGGAAGAACAAGAAAGTACATTTAGATGCATGCTATTTTATTTTATTTTATTTTATTTTATTTTATTTTATTTTATTATTTTATTTTATTTTATTTTATTTTATTTTATTTTATTTATTTTATTTTATTTTATTTTATTTTATTTTATTTTATTTTATTTTGAAAGATTTATGGACCACAAAGTCTTTTAAGTGCAGGCCTGTGCCAGCTGACATACTCTAACTGGGAATGGAACCTCCCTACTTTCTATTGCCTTCTTCTGTGTTTTTATTTATTGCCTCTCTATCTGGGAGCAAGGAGAAGGTTCTCAGCAGTCATGTGTACCTGTCAAACTCTCTTCTGGAGTCCTGCTAGCCTTCTCTTTCCACTGAATGGAAAAGCCTTTGCCCCTCGATCACCTGGTTGTTGTTTTTTTTAATGCAACTGATTATATAGTATTATTCTGTGAGAATAATACTGTTATTAGTAAAAGGGGAGCTTCTGGTGCAATTTCTACTGGAAAATATGGTAGCCACAACCACAGCTTCCAATGGGACACCCCACAAGCATCACCCAATCATGTTCTGTGATGATGCTGAGTCTGTATTGTTAGTGTATTTCATTGCTGGTTTTAATGAGAACATTTTATAGGTCTTTATTTCATTTTAAACTAGTGAGAAGTGCCCAGCACTGCTGAGGAATTCAAAGAAACAAACAAACAAATAAGAGTAAGGTTTAAATGGCTAGTGTAATGTGTGAGATTTAGGGCTGTGTAGTTTATGTGTTTTAGGGCTCTATGCTGACCCATGGAACATCTGACATGGTCCTGAATCAATTGGGAGGAGCTAATATTATATTAGGGCTGATTTGGTCTGCCATCTTGATTTCTAATGGTGCCCAGTGTCAAAACATAGAGGAAGACCACCACCTCCACCTCAAGAACCCTTGTTCTGCGCTTGGTGACTGTATCTTGAGAGACATCCAAATTGGTTTGAACCATCCTGTCAAACTGGGCAACAGTATCTTCAGAACAGGTTTGAACCATCATGCCAGATTTGATGAAGGCCAATCAAATTAGGTGGCAATATATTCAGAGATGTTCAAATCAGTGCACTTTGGACCCACTGTGTAAAAAGGAAAAGGAAAAGGCGAGGTCACATCAAAGTCATGTTTCATTCTGCCATCTTGATTGAAAGTGGTGACCATCCATCCAAACTTCAACAAAGACTGCCACCGCCACCCCTGGAACCCTAATGCTGAGTTTGGTGAAGATATCTTGAGAGGTGGCTGAACCTACACACAAAAATAATAATAATAAAATGTGTGAACTCACACCAAAGTGATGTTTTGGCCCACCACCTTTATTTAAAGCAGCTGGCATACAAAGTGTGTTCTCCCTCATAGAGAGCACGTGTTGCAGTGGGATCTGCCAGGCCACCCCTCTGTTGCCAGGCAGGGCTAGTAAAGTTGGCCTGTGGCAATGATTGGATGGTGGGGTTGCTGGGGCAATTTCTATGTTGCCAATTTGGTGAGAGGGATCAAAGGTTTTATATTCTGTGCAGGCAGCTTGGAGCTTTCTCTTTCGCTGCGTGCACTGGATCACCTACCCGCCCGCCCTAATTTCAGGGTGTGTTTTTTGTGTTGACCTTCCTATGCCTGTCATGGGGTCGTCTGCCATTGGGGCAGGGGCCTGGTAGGAATTTTGTCCATCTGGCTGATTGGCTGAGCCATTTGGTTTTTGCCTACTGCGTAGCAAATCGTCACAACTTGTAAGGTTGCGGTTAGGCATTGGTTATCAAACTGGTTGGAGGAGGGGTAAGGATTGGCTGGGCCTGCCCATCCAATTCTGCTGCTGAAAGGGAATTCCGTTAAAGGAATACATGGGCTTGCCATGTTTTGTCTGAATCCCTGGAATGGGGCTAGGGCTGGCAAGCCCCGGGGATCATGCAGGGAGAGGTGAGGGCCTGTGGCTCAGCTCCATTTCTTCCCAATATTGTTTTCCCTTACTGGCTTTTGCTGGAATCCGGAAGTCAGTTCTGTCCCCAGGCGGGGGAACAGCTAGTCTTAACCAATCCCTAAGCAACCACTCACATTTATGTATTTTAATAAAGTTGTGGCCAAAATTATGCCAAAAACCTTAAACAAAAATTCTGTGTGTGTTGTGAGTCATTTGAGGGGTGGTTTGGGGACCTCGACACACAAACATTGACAAAGACCACTTCCCTCTCCTCAGAAACCCTTGTGCCATGCTAGGTGACAATATCTCAAGAGGTGCCTGAACCCATAGAGAGCAGACAGACAGACAAACCACTTTCCAAAATATATAGCAGATGATTATTTTAATGAGGGTTCCCCCCTGAATTTTATGTATTATTGTTAACCCCCTTAAGCTGATAGGATGATAGGATAGGATAGGATGGGTGGAGTATAAATGTGTGAAAAAAATGCATAAATAAAAACACAAAATAGACACAAAAACTAACAGTGTATTCCTCACACCACAGGTCAACAACTAAGCATACTCACTTAGACTGCCTTGCCTGAGCACATGATGTGTGTGTGTGGAGAGAGAGCGAGAAGAAGAAGAAGAAGAAGAGGAAGAAGCCTACTGCATTGTGACAAGAGAGTAGAATTACACACACAAAAATTATATATATATATATATATATATATATATATATATAATATTATAATATATTATATTATATTATAAATTTTATATATATATATATATATATATATATATATATATAATATTTTATGAAATTTTCTAATTTACATTTCAAAATATTCATTTAAACACCCATGGTTCATTTTACATACGATACTTCCCTGCATATTTTACATTCATTAAACCATTGTTACATCCATCAAAACTTATTTACACTGTTGAATTTATCTTAATGCTACCAGCGTTTTTAAATGAACACAATTTTTACCCATATATTCAGTAAACGTTTTCCAGTCTTCTTTAAACGTATATTCTTCTTGTTCTATTATTCTACATGTTAAATCTGCAAGTTGCGCGTATTCCATCAGTTTAAGTTGCCATTCTTCTTTGGTTGGGACCTCGCTCGTTTTCCATTTGGGGGGTAACAAAACGTGGGCCGCAGGAGTAGAATACATAAATAACCTTTTCTGACACCTGGGAATTTCCCTCCAAATTATCCCCAACAAAAAGGACTCTGGTGGGTTTGGGGTTTTTTTTGAAAGGTACGTTTAAACATTTTTTTTTCTAATTCATTATATATCATTTCCCAATACTCTTTCACTCTTTTACAAGTCCGCCACAAAATTTGCTTTAGAACTTCTGTGTAGATCTAGAAGAAGAATGCGCAGTTATTTTGAAACACCCAGGAGTAGGCTTCAGCTGCCTTTTACTTCATGAAAAAAAATTCCTTAAAACATCCCTTTGGCCATTCTTAACAAAAAAATATTTCAAGCCAAAAATGCACAATGTCCAACACAGAGCAACTCTCCCCCTTTTTCATTTCTTGTCCAGCACTGCCTCATCACACCCCAAGCTGATGTCATGAAGTCCACTTGCCTGATGGTTAGGTCGTATTAGACTCCTGGAGGTCACATGAGCAATTGACTATATCTAGTGGTTTGAACAGTTTGAACAGTTCCTGGGTTTGGGCACACTTCTTTCTCCCTCCTTCCAAGCCACTCTACCCCCCGATGACATGGTCCCACCTACCCTGTTTGCCTGGATATTTTCTCGTTTGCTTGGTGGACTTGGAAGCTGGCCACAGTGTTATTCGGTGCCAAGAGCTCGGCAGCTGTTGAGAGATCAGTTGTGACAGAAGCCTGGGTGTCCATCCTAGACTTCATTTGTCATCCCCAGAGCCGGATTTACGTACAGTGGTACCTCGGGTTACATACGCTTCAGGTTACATACGCTTCAGGCTACAGATTCCGCTAACCCAGAAATATCACCTCAGGTTAAGAACTTTGCTTCAGGATTAGAACAGAAATTGTGCTCCAGGGGCGCAGCTGCAGCAGGAGGCCCCATTAGCTAAATGGTGCTTCAGGTTAAGAACAGTTTCAGGTTAAGAACAGACCTCCAGAACGAATTAAATACTTAACCCGTGGTGCCACTGTATAAGCTAAACAAGCTATAGCTTAGGGCCCCACTCTCTTGGGGGCACCCCCAAAAAATAAAGGAAAAAAATCTGGATGTACATTTCCAAAATACAGTGGTACCTCGGGTTACAGACTCTCAAGTTACAGATGCTTCAGGTTACAGACTCTGCTAACCCAGAAATAGGACCTCAGTTTAAGAACTTTGCTTCAGGATGAGAACAGAAATTGCGCCATGGCGGCACAGCGGCAGCAGGAGGCCCCATTAGCTAAAGTGGTATCTCAGGTTAAGAACAGTTTCAGGTTAAGAACGGACCTCCGGAATGAATTAAGTTCTTAACCCAAGCTACCACTATATAAGATAAAAAACAAATAAAATAAAACCTACATACAGCAACAGTATTTTGTGTTGTGTAGGCTCCTATGATGTAAGTAATGGGCCCTGCCTGCTAGCCTGCTCACTAAAATATCACTGGTTTGCCCATTTCTATATATAGGGTGCCTACATTCTGCATGGACTGGTTGCATGGCAACATGTGCAAATAGCTTTAGATACCTATTAGGTCCATAAATTACCATGTAGCAGATATTCAATACAAAAAACTGCAACAATTTGTTGTTGACAAAGGACAGCTGGACATATAAAGGACCCCATTACCTTCAGTAGCTTAGGGCCTCATCAAACCTAAATCTGGTCCTGGTCATCCCCCACCCTAGCAGGGCTTACAGGGGTCCAGATTTGGGGCCCAGTGTCCTTACATCACAGAGCCATTGGCTGCTTTGCTTCATCCTCCTTCTTGGTCAGCTGTCCAGACAGCTGCACCACAAAAACATTTATGGGCTCTTCCCTTTTTCAAAGAAACCTGCTTGCTACCAACAGATGGAACTGTATGCTACGTTTTCTGCTAACATTTCATGTTGCCGTTCTAAAAATGCAGCTACTTAAAATCAGAAGTTTAAAAAAACCCACAACTGTGTTAATATTAATTGTAGCAGATGGGATTGAGAAGGGCAGAAGGGAGGAGAAAGAGGCTGATTTCAATCGCTTTTAATGTGTTTTAGTTAAAAATAGGCCTGTGCCAGCTGCAAAGTATTCCATGCCAATTCCCCCCACCTTTATGTGAGAAATTTCTGTCAACAAGTTCCCATGGGGTGGGGGGCTACCAGGAATAGTAGGCAGCTTTTGTACTTTCAGCGAAAGTGAAAGAAAAAATGCTGGTTTTAACAGACTGCTAGAGAAGTGCTAGTGTGCCCCCAAATCATATATTTTTTTAAAAAAATGAAATTATAATGAAGGCTATGGTGGGACCAAAATATTGCTAGAGATTGTCTAATACAGTGTGGTACCTCGGGTTAAGAACTTAATTCGTTCTGGAGGTCCGTTCTTAACCTGAAACTGTTCTTAACCTGAGGTACCACTTTAGCTAATGGGGCCTCCCGCTGCCACCGCCGAGTGATTTCTGTTCTCATCCTGAAGCAAAGTTCTTAACCCAAGGTACTATTTCTGGGTTAGTGGAGTCTGTAACCTGAAGCGTCTGTAACCTGAAGCGTCTGTAACCCAAGGTACCACTGTAATGCATCTCTTTGTGAATTGCAGCTCTGGTTGTACCTCCTTCAGCCTCCTGTAGAGGAGAATACAGTTTATCCCAATTCTTCATCTAATGTATCTGGATCACTCAAAGAACTCCCAATACAGATATGAAGCAAAGGTATTTGCTTTTGGAGAATGTTGTCTATTGTGCCTCTTTGGGAGTTGCTGATCTGAGTTTACCTCCTTCTTATCAGAACAGTGACTCATGAAGAAACTTCTCTGAGGGTGGCTAGTTTTCACTCTTACAAACTCTGACAGTAAACCTTTGGTGGTGGTGGGTGGGTGCTTGTGTATGGATGTGGGGAGGAAGATAAACTGAAAGAAGATTTTCAATATGCCAAATGGCATTTTGCGGTGCAATTCTGCCAGATACAACCCCCTAATATTCAGAACAGAATTTAGATGGCATGGAATTCAGCCGCGTTCCCAATTTTAAATCCTGCTTATTGTTTTTGTGCAATAGCTCCTTATTTGCATGTCAACGGAGGTTTATGTGAAATAATTCACAGATGTACGTTATATATTTTACAGTAGCTGCTAGTTAATTAGACTTATTAACTAGAGGGACTAGTTAATTAGAATTATTAAGAGGAACCGTGACATGCTAAGGGACTAATTTGCAGACATTGCTTGTTTTGCTTAACAGAGCTGAGGGATGATCTATATTTCCCTTCTGGAAGAGGCATGATCAGAGGAAAGAACTATATAGGCTAAAATTATGCAGAAGAAGTGTTTAAGGGTGCTTCCAGAAAGAAATTTAATATTGTAAACAGGTTAGTGACAGTTCACAAATGGGTTATTGGTAATGTCCCCCCCCTTCCATCTTATTTCATTTTCCCCAGCTTAAATGTGGAGAAAATATGAGCTAACATTTTGATGGCAAAAATGTTGTGTGGATGTTTCAATGAACCTGCATGCATGAGGAGCAGCCATCCCATCCATAATAAGGACTTGTTTGGAAGCACCCCAAGAATGGAAGGAAGGACTTACCATTTATTATATGCTTCCCACTTCTTGAGCAGAGCTCATTTCAATTCTAGGCCAGGGGGTGACATCATGGGGTAATTTAAATCAAGAACTGTGTGTGTTCAGGATGGGTGAATCTGTCAGTTTTGGCTTTTCTCATTTTTTTTCTAGTTTTAAGTTCAGTACTTCATCTTTCTACATCAGTTTGCCTTTTTTAAAGTCCTTATGAAAATTTGTCAACAGCTAAAGAAGTTTCCAGTTCTACTAGTTTTTATGGTCACTTAAGGTAGGCTTCTCACAATATGTAGTCTTGTTCACAGGCATGTTTATGAACTAACCAAATTATAGGCAAATTATAGGCAAATATATAGGCAGAAAAATTTAGAGGACAAATGGATGTTTTTAACAGACCAAACAATTTCTTATCTTTCTCACCACTGAGTGTCCAAATTTGGTGCTCATACCTGGTCAAACAAGCCACGTGGTACCAGTTCTGCAGATGAACATCTGCAAAAATTACCATGTGTTAATTGGGGCCAATTAAAGCTAATAGTTAAAACTCTTTGAATTTGCATGGATAATTTTTCCTGTTGGATACTACAAATTTTAATGGAAAGCTGAGACAGACTATATTTCAGCCAGTGTATTAACCCAAAAGGTTGACTCCTTGCAGCAAATAGTGGACCAAGATAATAAAGAAATATATATTACATAGTTCTGCAAAATAGGGTCAGCCAAACTTTTAAAAGGCACATGAAAATACAGAAGCGATTAAAGGAGATTATGAAATAGTTGATTAGCTTGTGCTGGTAGTTCATATATTTCTGAGTAAACATGCATAGTCCATCCCACTCTATTCTCTCACAGTATACTGAAATCTCACAGAGAGGGAAATTGTTTTTTTTCTGGCAATGATGAATTAAAATTTTAACTTGGGCATGGAGACATTCTTTTTTCTGAATATGTGTCCTTATGAGTTGTTTCATTATATTAGCATGGAGCCATCTGGTTTGGAGACTTCTTGTGGCATCTAGACTGCCTACCTACAACAAAGTAGTAGTAGTAGTAGTAGTAGTAGTAACAATAATTTATTTATACCCCGCTCATCTGGCTGGGTTTCCCCAGCCACTCTGGGTGGCTGCCAACAGAATATTAAAAAAAGGATAAAACATCAAACATTAAAACTTCCCTAAACAGGGTTGCCGTCAGATGTCTTCTAAAAGTCAGAAAGTTGTTTATTTTCTTGACATCTGATGGGAGGGCATTCCACATGGAGAGTGCCACTATCGAGAAGGCCCTCTGCCTAGAAGGAAACAGACAAAACGCATCAGGAAGCAGACAAAACCACATCCTTTTAAACGTGTTTGAAAATCCTTGCAAGAGAGACGAGAACGATTAGGTAGGTGACAATAAGTTTTCCCATTAACAAGAGACTTCATGCCTAAATTTGACTCACCTGTACTTAATTCATTCTCAACGGCCAAAGTAACCCCCAAACCCCCAATCCTGTTAATTTTTCAAGTTTTGAAATTCAAAATGACTTCATCTGTATCACTCATTTCAATTTTTGCTCTGATGGGGAGGCCTGATCAATAGGATTCATCAGTGAGCCACCTGCCCAATAGGGATGCTTGAGTCCTGGTATGAAGTGAGCTGATTGGCATGTTTTGGAATAAGGTTCAGACTGGAGCTGAACTTGTTCACCAGATTTCACATTTTGCCAAAGTGTTTAAAATATGTATTTTGAGAGAATGTGTATTTGAAACTATGTTTTTTGAAGAATATGTTTTAAAAAGAAGAATTTTAAAAATACATTTGATGTACATTTGTATGTCTGTTTAAAGCAAAATCCAGGCAGATTTATGAGGAAATGGGATTGGTAAACATGCAGAAATGCCATGGACTGAAAATGGACTGATTAATCCATCCCTATTTCCTAGGTTGAAGATGTCAGTCATCTCTGATGCATCCCATGGAGAAATACTCCCCCCCCCCATGTACTTTATTTACAACCATCCCTTTATGACATCTTTTCACTGAACATCAAAGAACCCATTTTCACTCTTTTAAACAGAAATAACAGATTTGGCTGTTCAAACACTATGCTATTAATTACTCTATGACAAATCTCCATTTTGCTTTGATGAAACAGTTCGTATATATATCCGTCCCCTACCATCTTTCACAATACACTTTATTCTTCATTTGGGACACTGAAAAACTCTGCAGTTTCAAGCATTTGTGGCTTCGAGCAAATTTATGTCACTTGAAGGTTAATTACAAATGTCTTCAACTTTAAATGGAGAGATAATGTATTGCACATAAAATAATGGATCAAGAAAATAGGCATGTTCGCTGATTGAAACACAGCTCAAACTACAGCAAAAAACAAAATGACAATTTGAAATTTGCAGGAGTTTACACTGTTCAGAACTGCTAAATGGGACTAGAAATGTCAGAGTTAAAACAGCTACCTTGTTTTTCGCCCTATAGGACGCACTTTTTCCCCTCCAAAAATGAAGGGGAAATGTGTGTGCGTCCTATGGGGCGAATGCAGGCTTTCGCTGAAGCCTGGAGAGCGAGAGGGGTCGGTGCGCACTGACCCCTCTCCCTCTCCAGGCTTCAGGAAGCTATCCGCAAGCCTTCGGAGCCCTCGGGAGTTCCCCCCGGGCTCCCCGGCTTGCGCAGAGCAGCCTGCACCCCGAAGCCCAGGCGCGCTGAGCAGTTGCGCCGGGGCTTCGGGTAGCTGTGCGCAAGCCGCAGGAGGGCTCCCCCGGCTTGCGCAGATCTGCCTCTTATCCCGAAGCCCTGACGCACTGAGCAGTCACGCCGGGGCTTCGGGTAGCTCTGCGCAAGCCACGGGAGCCCGGCGCTAGGCTCCTGCGGCTTGCGAAGAGTTGCCTGCACGCTGAAGCCTGCGCGCGCTGAGCTCAGCGCGCCCAGGCTCGGCGCAGCTCTCCGCAAGGTGCCGGAGCCCAGCACTGGGCTCCCACGGCTTGCGGAGAGTTGCCTGTTCTGGTGGCTGTGGTCGGGGGAAGCTCAGGCTTCCCCTGCCCCAGCCCCACGCCTGGGGGGGAAATAATTTTTTTCCCCTTTATTTCCCCCCCAAAAAACTAGGTGCGCCTTATGGGACGGTGCGTCCTATAGGGCGAAAAATACGGTACTTACTTTTGTGATTTAGATGGTGATGTGCTAGTCACAGTGCAAGGGACTGGGGGAGTTTTACTGAAAGCAACGTGACAGACTCATTCTGCATCTAACATTCTCCGAAACCTGGCAGAAGGAAAAAGATGGTGCCTTGTCTTTTATCTGCATTCTCTGTCTATGCCAGAAGATTCAGAGTTGGCAGGGTTGAAGTTTCATAGCTAATATGAAGTCAGAGACACCCACCCACTCAAGTTCCCCATAATATACAGCGATCTCAGGAACGATCTTTCATTTTGCGTTGGACATCCAAGGGAGAGGAAGATGCTTTCTTGCTGGGCACCAAATCAGGTGACTGCCACTAAAAAACAGATCTATGAAATGCAGGTACTGGGGCTATTTTCACTTCAGCTGCAACTGTTTTGTTTTGTGATTGTTTTATTTTGTGAGTGTAGTGTTTAATTATACTATTGGTTATTATTTTAATGTAGTCACAAACTGTTTCAATCACTGATCAACTAGGAAAAAAGCATAAAACCAGATGCTTTACAAAATGATAGTTGGAAGAATATTACTATATAAAAAGAATTACCGTATTTTTCATCCCATAGGACACTCTGTCCCATAGGATGCACCTAGTTTCTTGGGGGGGAAATAAAGGAAAAAATTTCTCCCCCAAAACCAGGTCGGGGAACAGCGGGATGGGGGCGCTGCGCCTCCCCACTGCCCCCCGAGCTTGTGGGGCTGGCCGATGTCTGCCTGGCGCGAGGGGCGCTCTGTTTCAGGGCGCCCTGAGCGCCGGGCGGCAGGATGCTCCCCACGCTGCGGGTGTCTGCCCGGCGCGAGGGGCGCTCTGCTTCAGGGCGCGCCTCGCGCGGGCGGCAGGCTGCTATCCGCAGCGTGGGGAGCCCTGTGGGAACTCCCGCAGGGCTGCCTAGGCTGCGGATGTGTTCCCGAACTGCCGGGCGCTCTGCTTTCAGCGCGCCCGGCGCTCCAGGAAGTAAGCTGCTATCCGCAGCCTAGACAGCCCTGCGGGAACTCCTGCAAGGCTGCCTAGGCTGCGGATGTCTTCCTGAAGCCTGGAGAGCGAGAGGGGTCGGTGCACACCGACCCCTCTCGCTCTCCAAGCTTCAGCAAAAGCCTGCATTCGCCCCATAGGATGCACCCAGATTCCCCCTTCATTTTTGGAGGGGAAAAAGTGTGTCCTATGGGGCGAAAAATACGGTATTTTTATCTAGCAATCCCTAGGTATAGACACAGATGACATCAAATTATTTCCCAAACCTTTAGCCAAATGGTCAACCAGGGCCTCCAAAGAAATACCTTGCTTGGTCTACTCCAGGCATAGGCAAACTCGGCCCTCCAGATGTTTTGGGACTACAACTCCCATCATCCCTGGCCACTGGTCCTGTTTGCTAGGGATGATGGGAGTTGTAGCCCCAAAACATCTGGCGGGCCGAGTTTGCCTATGTCTGGCCTACTCAGATAACATATTTTGTCATAGTTTAACATGCATGTAAACATGCGAGATAAAATCTTTAATCTGCAGCCCTCATCCCCAAATAAAGGGGAATTATTATTTCACATCCCTTATGATGTGCTCACTAAGCTCCCAGATGCATTTTGAGTGGCATTCAACTAGGTTTTACTCAAAGTAGGTAAAGGTAAAGGGACCCCTGACCATTAGATCCAGTCGTGGCTGACTCTGGGGTTGCGGCGCTCATCTCACTTTATTGGCCGAGGGAGCTGGTGTACAGCTTCCGGGTCATGTGGCCAGCATGACTAAGCCACTTCTGGTGAACTAGAGCAGTGCATGGAAATGCCGTTTACCTTCCCGCCGGACCGGTACCTATTTATCTACTTGCACTTTGATGTGCTTTCGAACTGCTAGGTTGGCAGGAGCAGGAACCGAGCAATGGGAGCTCACCCCGTCGCAGGGATTTGAACCTCTGACCTTCTGATCGGCAAGTCCATGCTCTGTGGTTTAACCTACAGCACCACCCACGTCCCGTTACTCAAAGTACACCCACTCAAATTAATGGCCAAGTTCCTTAATTTCAACAGGTCTTCTCTGAATAAAACTTAGTTCAGTACCCCCCTGGGATCTTACATATTCATTATTGTATGACTGCGTATCCTACAACATACCACTAACTGTCCCTATAAGCACAAGTACCTTAAACACAAGTAAGTACTTAAAGTAAGTGCTGTCAAAATGCCTAGACCAAGGATAGGGAACTTCTGTTCTGCCAGATGTTGTTAAACTCCAGCTCCCATCAGCCCTAGCCAACATGGCCAATAGTCAGGAATGTTAGAAACTGTAGTCCAGTAGCAACCAGAAGACCACAGGCTTCCCATCCTTGGTCTAAAAGAACCACCTGTCAACTCAGAAATGCTGTTATGGAAGTGCAGTAGGCAGGGGCTGTTGCACATGCATGTATATTATTTGATTGCTTTACAGTTTTATCTGCATACCCTCCAACATTTATCCGATGAAAATAGGGGTGTTCTATTCCATAATAATAATTTTACTACTTATATACCACCCATCTGACTGGGTTGCCCCCAGCCACTCTGGGCAGCTTCGCAACAACAACAACAACAACAACAACAACAAACTTCCCTATACAAGGCTGCCTTCAGGTGGCTCTGGGCTTGGATAACTCCATACCCTCTAACATTTAAACGATGAAAATAGCAACATCCTACCATACCCTCCAATGTCCTAAGGAAAAGCGGGACTATCCAGAATCAGATCAGAAACTGGGATGGCTTCTGTAAACCCAGGACTGTCCTTGGAAAATATGGACTCTTGGAGGGTCTGCACTTGATCCATTTTCATAAATTAATGTTGGGTGGGGGGGCAGAGGTGGATTTAGGGCAGGACAACTGGCTCTGCTGCACTAGGTGCCAAGCCTATGGGTCACCACAGGGTGTCAAGGGAGTGAATTAAGCAGAACAGGAGGTGGGAGGTGGGGTGCCAGATTTTGGCCTTGCACAGGGCACTGCAGAAATCTGAAACACCAAATTCTGCCCCTGGGCGTGGAGTGAGACTAGAGTGCCCTAAACTACGTGCATTCAACTGACAACATGAAAAGACCTTGGGTACAAACGGGAACTCTCAGAATGAGGGCGCTTCACCCAAACAGGTCTATATTTGTACAGTTTGTAGGCACACAGAATGTTTTCATGCATGTAAGCTTAGGGGGCATGGCGTGCCACTGTGATCCTGCCACGTCCCTTTTGCAGAGTCATTCACCCAAGCTTGTCTGAAAGGGGCTTTGATGACTGGCATCTGTATGGAAAAACATTGTGTTCGAGATGACATGAAAGTTCTATCTGTGGTGTTTGATCACACTTGAGTCACCGCATCATTTCTGTGCAAACCAGCCCACAGAGTGCCTAATGAAATCCATCTAGCACTAGCAACATTTTTATTACGTTGTGGAATGCTCAAAGCACTTCTCACATATTATGTGGAGAATATATTGTCCTTGGTAATCCTTACAATAACACTATAAGGAAGGACAGCATCGTTATCCCCACATACCAGCCTTTCAAGGTCATCCTTAACAGAAAATGCCCCAATCCCTTTTTTTTTCAAGTAAACAAAATCTCTATTTCAGTGAGGTGTCCCTACTTTCTCAATAGCCATGACACAAATTCATTACAATAGCTGGTATAGCATAGGAGAAAACCAGAATGATCTGTGAGTCCTCAGCTCACCTCTCACCTCAGGTTTGCCCTCACTCAGTGGCCGTAAGCAAAACCCTTTTCTCTCACCATCACTCCCCATCACCTCACCTGCAGTATGAGGAAATAATTCTGGAATACCTCACAGGGCTGTCATAATTAATGACACTGCATGTGATTGTGAGGTGTGGTGACATGTGTGTAATGCTATTACCATTACTAGTTAAATTGCGTCAAGTTTGATAGACTAGGAGAAAGAGAAGTCCAGTCTTTTCCCCAGCCCCATTTCCTTATTCTTCCCTCTAGCAATGTGGCAACTGCATCAAGTAGAACAAGGGGTGGGGTCAACCCACATTTCCCAAACATGTTCCTGCTGCTGTTTCCCAAAGCTGAGAACTGCCTTCAGGTCATTGGGAAGAGGTAAGGAACACTTCCCCATGTGAAGAAAATGCCAAAGAACCTTGATCTTTAAGAAGAAGACTCCAGTTCATTTGACCAGGGGAATATTCATTCACTGACATTCTGTCACTCCCAGTCATGGCTTCAAACTGCCATTGAATCCATTCTCCTGAATTAACAGAAATCACAAATCCATTTTTTTTTCCTATGAAAAGCTGTCTGCTTATGGATAATCCTTAGTTGCCCTATGCATTCTTCATATGTGAGTATTAATACTGAAACCTAGGTGCTGTTAGAGTGTCCTTTTTTATAGAAAAAAGATGATTTGATAGCAATACAAAGCAATGCAAAATTCAGTGACATGCAAACATTTAAATGGTAACTCTATTAGGGGATAGTTATACAGTATGCTGGTCTGCTCACTTACCAACTATATGGGTGAATTAAAAATGGTCTTTTTCACTTTGGTATTCTGTAACTAACCCATTTACCTCAGTTTTACTCCCTCTTTTCCCCTAATCAAAACAAATATTTATGTAGGTTTGGATTTTGACTGTTGGGCTTTCTAAGCTAAAGGAAAACTCTCTCCCATATTACAGGCAGTTCTTTCATGTTAAGAAGGACACATTAAAGGCAAGGAGGAGGATGAGCTGATTCACCTTTGGAGATAAGGGAAATCGGCTGGCTGGCAATTGCTCTTGCCTTGATCGGGAGTTAAATTGGACCCTCCATGGACCCTCCTGTCTCTAATCAGGAGATGATGGCAGGTCAACAGCAGCACCGATCCATCACAACCCATTTCAAAGTTCTCTGTGTGGAGGCAGAGAACGAAACCTCGCACAGCCACTCACTGATCAAAATTGTCCTGGGAGATAAATTTCTACTTCTCATGAGCCTGTTCTGCAGGGGCAAAGATTTGGTTTTCCCATTCTCCACTGCATCCAAGACTGCAGCCTATGGAACTCAATGACAGCCATGGACAACGAGACCTGCACAGTCATGTCCCAAGACCCCTTTCTTGGTCATTCTACAGTGGGATGGAATGTTGAGACACGAGATGGAAACTTGAGACACAATATGCAGATAAATATGAAACAGAAATTCCCAGAAATGCTCACATGCTGAGCCCTCGCACCCACGTATCACACATTTCAGCAAAGATTAAAAACGGAAGATGAATTACTACACTAATCAAGTTATAATTACAGCTTATGCATACAGTGGTGTTTGAGAGAAGGCGAAGAGGCTGACATGTGCTGAGCGGGAACGGAACAGGCACCAACTGTTGTATGAGTCATGGAACTTACAAATGACTAAGTGGAGACAGAAGCCCAGCTGCATTTCAAAAAAGGGCATGAGAAGGGATGATGATGGTGGTGATGGTGATGATGATGAGAACAACAACAACAACAACAACAACAACAACAACAACAACAACAATACTCGGCCCATCTGACTGAGTTTCCTCAGCCACTCTGGGTGGCTTACAGCACATATAAAAACATAGTAAAATGTCAAACATTAAAAACTTCCCTATATAGGGCTGCTTCCAGATGTCTTCTAAAAGTGTGGTTGTTTATTTCCTTGACATCTGACAGGAGGGCATTCCACAGGGAGGGCGCCACTGCCAAGAAGGCCCTCTGCCTGGTTCCCTGTAACTTCACTTCTTGCAGTGAAGGAACTGCCAGAAGGCCCTTGGAGGTGGACCTCCGTGTCCAGACTGAGTGACGAGGGTAAAGATGCCCCTTTAGGTAAACTGAGCTGACGCCATTCAGGGCTTTAAAGGTCAACAGCAACACTGTGAATTGTGTGCAGAAACGTACTGGGAGCCGCTGAAGTTCCTTTAGGACCGGTGGTACATGGTCCCGGTGGCCACTCCCTAAAGAGCATCCTCAAGGTATTTCAACACTGGCAAGTCATAAAATCATGGCAGTGCTACCCCTGCCTGCCTAATACTTGGCAGCAACCTTAAAAAGGGAATGCATCTGAGAGAGGCAGTATTGTAGTATGATTCTGCATTGGCATAAGCCACATTGTGCACAGAAATTCTGAAGGGAAAATCTGTATTAAAATCTGTATATTTTAGTATTGCTTTGTTCTGGTAATGTTGTACAATTTGCACTTGTTCTCTAATTAGCCAAATGCGCAACATTCAAACAGTGTTTACACAGAGCAGGACTGGGTTGCCTATAGCCCTCCAGATGTTGTTGGACTCTAACTCCCATTAGCCAAAATGGGCAACAGTCAGGGGTGATGAGAGCTATAGTCTAGCAACATCTGGGAAATCACCTCTGATAGAGGGAGATGAACTGAACTTCTGTGGGCACACAGAGACACCCCACAGTGGGTACCTATTGGTGGAGGCAACACAATCACTGCCATGGGTGGTATCTGCCATTTACTCCCACCTGTTGTTATTGCTTCCATATTTTTCAATATCACTTAAGAGGTACTTGTAGACATGTTTGGGATTACTTGCCCCTGCTTTAAGCCCAGTATTTGGGTGAGGGTCCTGTTTTGGCCCCTTTTCAAATAGTAATCTGTTTACACTGTCCTACAGAATCCAACCATTGTTGCTGAGAACTGAGCTAGTCTTATTGGCCCAGCCCATTCCCACTCCACTTCAATCTCAATTTCTCCACCTTGGGTTCAATTTCCTGTTGCAATGCTAGAGACTGCAGCAGATACAGCAAAATCTCGGTTGTCAAATGTAATCCGTTCTGGAAGACTGTTTGACTTCCGAAACGTTCAACAACCGAGGCGCAGCTTCCGATTGGTTGCAAGTGCTTCTTGCAGTGAAGCAGAAGCTGCATTGGAGTTCCGAGAAACAGTCAAAAACTGGAGCATTTACTTCCAGGTTTTCGGTGTTCGGGAGCCAAAACATTCAAAAACGGAGCCATTCGAGAACCGAGGTTTGACTGTATATTGTAATGACCGTCTTAAGATGGCATGTTTGCTGGGCGAACAATGTACAATCAAACCCAATAAAGAACATTGTCAGGGAACTGACATCGGAGCTAGAGGCGGAGGGAAGGCTCTCAAATGATGCTGGAGAAGGGCCCAGCAGGGAGAGAGGCAGCTCCGCAGATGGGGAAGCAAATCAGCGCTACACCAGGGATAAGGAGGGGCTGCGGGGGAATCGGCGAGAGGGCTCCAGGACTCTTCACCGGACACCAGCGGGGAGAGCACTGGTCCCCCGCTACCCACGCCCACCCTGCGCAGAAGACTTCCGCGCAGAGAGAGTAGGAGGAGACTGGGTGTCAAACAACTTTTATGTTGGAAAAGATTTAAGAAACGCCCACTGACGGATTCTGCTAGCGACTGAGGCAGCCACGAAGTGAAGGGCTGCCCAGACTGAAAGGTTTACCAAGGCAACAAGGCCTGGAGAGGTGGCAACTTACGCACGAGCAACCCATACTCATTATAAACATCTCCAGATTTCAGTATGAGAAGAGCACTTATCCTTGAGGCCCATGGAAGAAAATTCACCTAATTTAACCGAACATATGCAGATGTTTACTCTGAGAACAATTAACATGGCTTTTCTGACAATAATCGTTTTATAACATGCTGTTGATCTGACATTTTATCAAACAATTTCTGACCTTTACCTTTTGAAACGAGGTAATTTGGAAGTGAGTTTCTAATTAGAGATTAAATGTTGTTTATTCCTTCTCTTAATGTAACTAGAACAACCAACCAGCGTTTTAAAGGACAGCACCATAAAAAAGGGAAAGCAAATGGATCCTCATAACAGAGGGTCCTGGTTGCGCTCGGGACCCAAGAGCTCACCTGTCAGGGTTAAAATGGTGGGGAGGGGAAGGAGCAGGAAGTCCTGGCCATTCCCCTGGGATCATTCCAGGCTGTTTTAGCCAATAGCCAGTAGGTGGCCTGATCCCTGGGGCTTTAAAAGCAGCAGTGTGATGCAAGTGGGGCACTTGCATTTGCACGGCTGAACACCCGCCCACCCTTCCTAGCTTAGGTAGAGTCACTTGGCCTTGCTTTGGTTTGGGTCGCCTGTTTTGGAACAGGGGCTGGGTAGGATTTTTTTCCATTTGGCAGATTGGCTTTTAGCCATTTGGTTTTCACCTATCCCTTAGCAAATCGTCACAACTTGTAAGGTGGCGGTTAGGCATTGGCTCAGTTGGATTGTGGGGAGGGGAGGTGCGGCCATCACCTGCCCCTCCAGGAATTGGGTATTCTGTTAAAGGAATCTGGGGCTCCTGGATCTCGTCCGAAGTCCGCTTGAGGGGCTAGGGCCATGCCAGGACCACAGGAACCCCAGGGTGAGCTTAGGTTTGTCCTCATCGACCTAGCTCCCTCATTTGGTTTACCCTATTGGACGATCACCCTGAGAGGTGGAGTCAGTTATAGTGGGGAGTCAATGCCTAAGCCAATACTGCTCACGTGATTGTATTTCAATAAACTTGTGGCCAAAATTTGCCCCAAAGCTTAAGCTAATATAAGTGTCTGTGTGCATTTATTTTGGGGGTGGGTCTTGGGGCCTTGAGACACAAACGCTAAAGCTTGATTTATGCTTCATGATCTAAGCCAGCATATATGCTATTTGGGATATACGAAATACACATTTTTGCTGCCCTGCACTATTAGTCTACAGTCACCTAATAGCTGCCATGGTAATGACCTGACTCTCTAGCTAACTAGCCAGGCTGTTCAAGTTCAGCTTGCCTCATCTACAGTAATGAGTGCAACATGTGGACAGATGGCCCAGCAGTGAGTTCACATGTGCTGATAGCAATTACAAAGATTTATACATATTACGTTGATGGTACCATACTACGGCAAGCATTCTAAACAGTTTAAAAAAAAAAAAAAAAGAACGAAGAGTCAGAGATTCGAAACACACAACTCATCGAGGGTCTGGTCTAGGTTCCAGAAATCCCAACAGACTGTAGTGACAACCAAGGTTTGAGATCAAGTTTGCATTGTGCCAATCCATACGGCTCAAGCTGTGGGAATAGCCAAAGGTAGGCACAGGGCAGCCAACCCCAAGGTTGGGAAGAGAGAGAAACAGGTTCACCTCAGTGTTTCAAGGGGTGCTTATTTTGCTCTTCGTAAGGCCACATGCTATGTCATCTCTCTCCCCTCAGCCTGTCTGCAACACATATTTTTAGTTGTTTTTATCTTATCTGGCAGAGCAATAGTCATTTATCTAATCACATCTTACAGTCCTAGAAGAAAATATGGGACAAGGTAAACATTAAGAAACTGAAAATGCCACAGGATTGATTTTCCTAACGAATCTCCCACCATGCCACTGAACAGGTAACACCCCATGTCCTCCATTGCTCCATGTTTGTAGAAGCACAACACTCTCCCCTACTGTATAAATAGGCCTTTATTGCTCTGTAAATGGATTTTTTATTTTTCAATTTCCTCTTTCTTAAACTCAAACAATACCTAATTTTCAATAAGGCCAGAATCTGCCAAACCTTAATTAGCCATTGCTTGATGGATGGAATTTCCTTATGTGCAATCAAGACCTTTGCAATTATTAATAAGTTAGACGTTATTTCAAGGCCTGGGCAGAATTATCAAGTTCCACTTTGTGGAGTTTGGGCAGAAATCATTCCACTCCACAATACTCTGGAGTGGAAATCCGAATGGCTTCCACAATTCCCTGAAGACATTGA